AAGCCGTTTCAAGGGGGAAGCATTCTAACTTATGAAATGCTGGTAGAAAAACCATTTCAAGGGGAAAGCATTCTAACTGCTGAAATACTGGTAAAAAACAATTTCAAGAAAAGCATTCTAATTGCTGAAATGCTGGTAGAAAAGCAATTTCAAGGGAGAAACATTCTAACTGCAGAAATGCTGGTAAAAAACAATTTAACGCGGAAGCATTCTAACTGCTGAAATGCTGGTAAAAAACAATTTCAAGGGGGAAGCATTCTAACTGATGAAATGCTTGTGCAAAAAGCAAGTCAAATTTCAAGGGGGGAAGCATTCCAATTGCTGAAAAGCTGCTAAAAACAAAACAAATTTAAGGGGGAAGCATTCTGACTGATGAAATGCTGGTAAAAAGCAATTTGAAGGAGGGAAGCATTCTAACTGCTGAAATAATGGTAAAAAACAATTTCAAGCAAGGCATTCTAATTGCTGAAATGCTGGTAGAAAAACAATTTCAATTGGGAAGCATTCTAACTGCTGAAATGCTGGGAAGCATTCTAACTGCTGAAATGCTGGCAAAAGCAACTTCAAGGGGGAAGCGTTCCAATTGCAGAAATGCTGGTAGAAAGCAATTTCAAGGGGGAAGCATTCTAACTGCTGAAATGCTTGTGTAAAAAACAATATGAAGGGGAAACATTCTAACTGCTGAAAGGCTGGAAAAAGCAATTTCAAGGGGAAAGCATTCCAGCTGCTGAAATGCTGGTAAAAAGCAATTTCAACGGGGAAGCATTCTCACTGCTGAAATGCTTGTGTAAAAGCAACTTCAAGGGGGAAGTGTTCTAACTGATGAAATGTTGGTAAAAAGCCATTTCAAGGGGGAAACATTCCAACTGCTGAAATGCTGGCAAAGCAATTTCAAGGTGGAAGCCTGGGAAGCGTTCTAATTGCTGAAATGCTGGTAGAAAGCAATTTCAAGGGGGAAGCATTCTAACTGCATTCTAACAACTGATGATATTCATAGTGCGGAGGCATTCTAAGTGAGGGATTTGTGCAAAGGGTTCTCCAAAAACACAAAAACTTAAAACCCGGGTGGGGAGGCATTCCAACTGAAGGATTTTTTGCCGTGCGCGGGCCGCATTCTAACTGAGGGGGAGGAATATTTGGAATTCGCGGAGGCATTCTAACTTTCATTTTAACGGTATATATATACACACACATGTCTATAATGTATGATCCTACGTAATTCGGGATTAAACATGAAGAAACTCCTTTATAATTGCCGCAGCTGTCGGCTTTAAGGGTGGATGTGGGGGCATCACGTTGCTTGCGGTTGCAACGTTTGCAACTGCCTCCCTCGCCTCTTCCTGCTGATCTCCCAGGGGAGCGGCTTGCCGTTGTTCCTCGAGGGAGTCGGCACAAGGCTGAGAGTGCTCGAGGCAGAGGTCCTGGACGAGCTCTTCAGAAGGGGCTTCGTGGAAGGGAGGCTGCGAACTCCCAACCTGGCACCTGGACCACCGCCCACTAAGGCTGCTGCTGTGCCTCCGGTGGAACCTACACCGCCTGCCAATGCACCACCGCCTGCTGCTGCACCGCCAAGGCAGAGCCAAGAAGGGGCCTCCCAAAACGAACCTGCTGCTGAGCCCATAAGGGAGGAAAAGGCTGAAGCCTCCCAAGCTGCTGCTAGCCTCCAGGTAGAACGCTCGAAAGAGGAGGTCGACCTCGCGATTTACCCGAAGAGCTCTCCAAGCGCGCCCAGCCATTTGGCTACCCCTGTGACCCCGGTGAAGGCTGAAGAGGAACCCCCGGAGGCTGAGCCAGGAACAGGAGTAGAGGAAGTAGCCAAAGCAGCAGGTGAGGAGCCCAAGAGCAAGGAGAAGAGGAGCCGCCCAAAGGCTAGCCATAGCCGTCATCGTCGTCGCCGTTCAGAACCCAGGAGAAGCCACTCCGGAAGAGCCAGGAGCTCAGGTCGGAGAAGAGACAGGTCCAGAGGTCGTCAAAGAAGGGAGAGAACTAGAACTCCCAGATCGGAAGGAGGAAAGGAGAAGAAAGCTCGGCCTGATCGCCCCCCAGAGCCCGTTGGGCTGCCACCTCATTGGAGGGATAATAGAGCCCCACACGAGCCGGACTATCCCCCACCTCGAGATCAGCGCCGCCCTCAAGGTCCAGGGTGGGTGGGGCCAGTCCCATACTCAGATCACGCAAGGTGGTCCACAGGAAAGTCAAGAGGAGTGGTTCGCCGACCAAACGAGGAGCTCTACAACAGAAGAAGGAGAGAGAATAGGGGAGGCCGCTAGAGCTAGGCTCAATGGCTCCCAAGAGGATTAGAAGGCCAGCGGCATCGCCCGGCCATATGGCCAGACCTGCAGCGAGAGGAGAAGCGAAGGAAGTAAGAGAAAAGCTTTGCAACACATTGACCATGGCTGATATCCCCCGCTTGGGGACTCTGTGGCTCAAGGAAGCGATCTACTATGGCCGCCCTGTGGATCTGGTAGGCAGGTTCACCAATGTTAAGCTCGAGGATGGGCAGCCTATGGGTGATTTCCAAGTCACAGGTACCAAGGATGAGGCACTGTTGAGGGCGTTGTCAGGAAAGCCAGACCGCCTACTATCGGTGCACCTGTGTCCAGACGAGTGCCCTGCGACCCTGACTGATGAGTTTCTGGTGCATGGCAAGGCCTACATAGAGGTGGAAGCCCGTGGTCTCCCCTGGTACAACAACCTGGTGGAGGTCGAGGCTGAAAGGCCACCAATGGATGAGCTGGTCAAGCTGAGAGAAGAGGAGAGGAGACAGGCGGAGCTAGCCGGAAGAGGGGAGGAAAGGCCTCCCAAACCCGCGAAGAAGGAGAAGAAAGCCGAAAAGAAAGACAAGAAGGCTAAGGAGCCAGAGGCTGTGGACAAGAGGAGAAGGTCAGACAGTGACGAGGAGTTGGAGATTGGCCAAAAGGCACCTCGTCTCCTCTTTGCCAAGACGGGCTTGGATCCAGAGGCGAAACCGAGAAGGCAGTTCTTGAAGAAGGCCAGGAAGGTAGGGCGTTCAAAAAAGGCCAAGAAGAAGCGAAGTCGATCATCGCACTCATCCAGCAGCCCGGGTTCTTCAAGCAGCTCTAGTGCAGACTTCATGGACAACGTGGGCTTGTTCGACAGTGAGAAAAAGCTCAAGTCCATCTGGAAGCGTTTCCCGGGGGCTCTGGCATGTAGCGCTGCCACAGAAGCCAAGCAGCAGCTACTTACCGCATCGGGGACGGTTTGCGGCCTCGATCGGCGCCGAGTCGATCCAGTGTTTACGCCCTATGCGAGACAGTGCTTGATGAGCCATATGTCCCCGCCCATGGCTCAAGAAACTTTGACCATCGCACAGGGGTTGGACTTACTTCTCCAAGGACATGTAGCAGGTGCTTGCGACTTGCTGGCCCAACGCATGAAGAGCCTCGAATCTTCATCTCGTGGTTGCCATTGGACAGTTTCCAGACAGATGGAGCTCGTCAAGAGCGATGGTGCCACTATGGCCGAAGAAGGCGAAGCCCATGATGCTGCGAGAAGAGCAAGGGAAGAAGAAAAGTTGCGGGCTCTTACATCGAGGTCTACGAGTGCAAAGCCTTTCGAATCTGGAGGGCAGGCCAAAGGGGGGAAACGAGGGAAGGATTGGAAGGGTGCCAGCAAAGGGAAGCAGGATGAAGGGAACAAAGGAAAAGGAGGAGGAAAGAGAGGAGAGAATAAGGAATGGGAAAAGAAGGACAAGTGAGGCCGTTATGGCCTTCGTCCTGCGTCCTAGAAGAGTTGAGCACCAATCCAATTAGAGAAGCCCCCTCAGGTATGGCCAGTGCAGGTGAGGCGATCTTTGAGGCTGGGCAGACGGCGACAGGAGACGACACGAGGCTGGCAGAGGCAGAAGCAGCAAGGATGTTGGCAGGCAGCAGAACAGAAGAGACAGAAGCAGCTATTGAGGATTTGATTGCCTCGGCGATGAACGGGGCACTACAATCGGAGGGGAGTAAGCCCGGGTTGCAGCCTGGCGACTCCCAAATGTTTCACTTCCTTTTGCATGAGTGCACAAAAAGTTGGCGGCGGGGGCTCGAAGATAAGCCTACGCTGGCCAACGTGGGCAATTTAGTCACTGCGGTCCTGGATCTATGTGGAAATGACCATTGCAGACCTCAGCCCAAGGCAAATAGGCGTTCTATGTTTCCTCTATTTGCCCCAGGACATGCAGTGGATGCAGGACCCACTAGGCAATTTCTCCCGGCCTTGGTAGCCGCTTTGAACCATCTTCATGGAGTGGAGATGACCGGCAGAAGGACATCAACTTCGTCCAGAGCTGAAAAAAGGCTAGCTACGCTGGTCCATGAGTCAGGGTTGTTGACGGAGCCACTGCCCCCACTGAGTTTTCATGATTTTTTCTCCTGTAGACAGTTGGGCTATGTTGGGGATGAAGTTCTTGTTGCTCGTAGGGTGGTATGGGAGCCTATTGAACCTTCACTCCCAACTCAGGTGGGTCAGTTGGATATTCGTGATTTTACGGAAGGGGGTGTGCGCTATTACATTGATCATTTGGAAGACTTTGTTGAGGTGCCTGAGGGTTTTCAATTGGGGAAGCCCCCCAGGGTGTTCGTGGATGATCAACACTGGGATGCCGTGGCCCGTGGTTTGGTGGATAGAGGTTTGTGTCATGTTCTTCGACGTTCTGAACTGTTTCATGTAGGTGGCCAACCTTTGTGGAATGGCTTGTTTTCTATTGGAAAGCAAGAGTTCGTGGGAGACATCGAGGTTTGCCGTCTTATCATGAATCTCAAACCCTTCAACTCCTTATGCCTTCCTATGATCGGGGATACCGTCACCCTGCCGATGATCTCCAACCTGGGTACAATGTTTCTTGACCCCCAAGAAAACCTCTGCATCTCGTCCGAGGACATACGATGTTTCTTCTACCTGTTCCGGGTGCCTCAGGCCTGGTGGAGATTCATGAGTTTTGGAAGGGTTGCACCGGCTAGTATAACACCTTCTAAATTTGGAAATGAAGAGGGGTATTTGGTTTCTACCGTTTTACCTATGGGATGGATCAACAGCGTCGCCTTGGCGCAACACATCCACAGAAGGGTGGTGAGGCGTTGTTTGGGATCTTTGTCGCCCCCCATGGGGGGGGAGTGCGAGCTCAGGAGGGACAGGACCTTTTCCAATAGCCCTCACCTTTTCAGAGTTTATTTAGATAATTTTGATGAGCTGAAAAAGGTGGATTGCAAACTGGCAGAAATGATTGCTGGAAAGCCGTCAGAGGCGGTTAGTGCCTTAAGGGAGGCCTATTCCAGGGAAGGCCTCCCAAGACACCCTCGAAAGTCAACCCAGCAAGAACTATGCGCTGAGGTGCAAGGAGCTTGGGTGGATGGCCGTCGCGGGGTAGTCTCCGCAAAACCTGCGAAGGTGGCGCGCTATGTCAGCCTGGCAATTGAGCTGTTGGAAAGGGGATCAGCCACCCAACGGGAGTTGCAGGTGGTGGGAGGAGGCCTGGTCTACATGTGTATGTTCAGGCGCCCACTCCTGTGCAGTCTTAACCAGCTGTGGAAGGCCATTGTAGAGCTGGAGGGAAGCGGAAAGGTTAGAGCCCCCCTCAGCAGACAAGTGGCAGCTGAGCTGGCTCGTTTCCTTGGATTGGTTCCCTTGGCCATCATGAACTTGAGGTGCCCCTACAACGACATCGTGACGGCCAGTGACGCATCAACCACAGGGGGAGGAGTTTGTGCAACTAAGAGCCTCAGCCCTTATGGACTGGTTGCCTCCCAGAGTGCGGTTAGGGGAGAGCTCCCAGAGCCACATGACTTCTCCCAAATCTTGAGCGTGGGTCTCTTCGACGGGATCGGCGCCTTGCGCATTGCCCTTGATTGCTTGGAAGTGCCTGTGGTGGGTCACATCGCCGTTGAAAAGTCAGTGGAGGCCCAAAGAGTCCTTGAGAGCTTCTTCCCTGACATCATCCAAGTCAACGATGTGGCCGAGGTCACTGAGGAGAAGGTGCGCGCTTGGGCCCTGAGGTTTCCTTCAGTGGGCTTGATCCTTATTGGTGCAGGTCCACCCTGCCAGGGGGTTTCTGGCTTACAGAAAAGGTGCCATGAAAGATGGCCGAAGTAGCCTCTTTACCCATGTGCCGAGGATCACCCAGCTTTTTCGTATCTGTTTTCCTTGGGCCCAGGTCCACCGGTTGATGGAGAGTGTGGCATCTATGGATGCTAAAGATTGCCAGGCCATGAGTGATGGAGTGGGTGATCTGCCTTGGTATGTGGATGCAGGGGGAATCACACTTTGTCATCGACCCCGGCTCTATTGGGTAACGTGGGAACTTCTCGAAGGCGAAGGAGTTGCTTTTGGTTATGGTTCCGATGGTTCACTTCCTCTACAAGGAGAAGTGTCATTACAGGCCCAGGCTGACAATGCGCTCTATCTAGAGAGTGGGTGGAACATGCATCAGCACAGGCGACTGCCGACCTTTACTACGTCCAGGCCAAGTCCAACGCCCCTAAAGCGACCAGCAGGGTTGCGTACATGCGCCTCACACGAGGTGGCAAGGTGGAGAGCAGACTCCCACCGTTTCCCTCCGTACCAGTACAAAGATGAGAATTGCCTTTTCAATAACTCAGGGGAATACAGAGTGCCCAGCGTTCTTGAAAGGGAGGTTATTCTTGGTTTTCCTAAGGATTACACCTCCCAATGCATGCCTAAGAAGGAGCACGGGACCACCCGTCACAGTGACTGCAGGTTAACCCTGCTAGGCAACACTTGGCGTGTCCCGGTGGTGGCTTGGCTGATCTCCAACTTGCTGGTGGTGCTGGGTTTCATGACCAAGCTGTGCCCCCAGGACATTGTGGACAGGTTGCGACCAGGACAGGGGAGGACCTTGCAAAGGTTACTTGTCAGGCCTCCCATCAGAGGCAGCACTTCAAGCTACCCAAGCTGCCCAGGACTAGTTCAGAAACTTTCAAGCTTGGTCTCTTTGAAAGGTGAAGACCTCCTACTTCAGGCTCCCACCGAGGCACCAGTCAAGTTTCACAGGAGCATATCAATGTCTTGGAGCTCAGATCGGTCCTTACCACCATCAAGTACCGGGTGGAACAGCTTGGAGATTTAGACATTCGATGTGTCCACTTAGTGGACTCTCTGGTGGTCTTGCATGCTCTGACAAGGGGGAGCACTTCTTCAAGGAAAATGAGGCGGACACTTATGCGGCTTAACTCCTATCTTCTTGCCAGCGGTCTTCAATGTTGCTGGGGGTACGTTGATACCCACCAGAACCCAGCTGATCGGCCCTCCCGGGGGGCAAAACGCAAATGGGTAAGAAAGCTACGAAAATAACTGAAGGCCGCACGAAGGAGGATAGGAAGAAGGTCCGCAAAAATTTGGGTACTCTTAAGTCCCTTACAGTGCAACCACAAACAAAAGCCCGCTATCAGCAAGGCCTAGACCGGTTCTTTAGCTATCTTAGACGTGAAGGGCTCACCCTCCCGAAGCGTAGGGACGATTTGGATGGACTGGTGGGGGATTACTTGGAACATTTGTGGTCAGAAGGAGAGGGCCGTGCAACAGCCAATAACTTCCTGGCCGCACTTCAAGATTTTGACCCCAAACTCAAAGGCCATCTGCAAATTTCGTGGCGCCTGATGAAAACCTGGACCACAAACGAGATACCTAATCGGGCCCCACCTCTCACTGAGAGTATTTTGAAGGCAATGGTAGGTTGGGCGATCTTTCACCAGCACTTTTCCTTTGCCCTTTCTCTGCTAGTAGGTTTCTATACTTTGATGAGAACAGGGGAGCTGCTCCAACTGCAGGCTTGGAACATCCATATGAGTTCCAGCTCCCAACCGGCTGTCATCAGTTTAGGACTTACCAAGTCCGGAAAGAGACAAGGGGCGGCAGAAAGTGTCACTTTAACGGAAAAGTCGGTACTCAAGATCCTCTGGGTCTGGAAGCAGCAAGCCTCACCACATTCTTTTTAAACGACCAAGCCACATTTGTGGCGACAAATGTTTAATGAATGTCTAGAGGCCTTGCAACTGACGCCTTGGGGTTTTCGTCCTTATTCATTGCGTAGAGGAGGAGCTACTTCCCTGTTTATTAAGATTGGGTCCTTAGACCGTGTCTTGCTACTTGGAAGATGGACTGCAGTAAAAACTGCCAAAATTTATTTGAATTCAGGTTTGGCAATGCTGGCCGACCTTAAAATTGCATCACGATTACTTCAGCCGTTTCACCTAGTGTACCAAAATTATTTGCAAGGAGTGCCACAGCTTGAGCAAACTCTCCATAAGGAGAGAAGACCAGGGGGACGTGGTAAGAGTGCAAGAGGCAAAAATGAAATGCCTAGAGGGAGAGGTATTTCGTCAGCGCTGTCTTTTTTCGGTTTTGTCTGGTGTCTTAGACTGCTTGAGGCCTAGGGGTACTCTGGTTTGGCAGAGTCCTAGGAGGCAGTAAGGGAGATATTTCCTTCCCTTGGCTTGGCAGGGAATGCAATATCTGGAACCCTTTCAAGGATGACACCTTTCATCATCTTTTGTTAATTGTTTAATTTAACAAAGTTGGTCTGCAATGTAAAAAAGGAGTGGAGTGAATGTTTGATCCTACGTAATTCGGGATTAAACATGAAGAAACTCCTTTATAATTGCCGCAGCTGTCGGCTTTAAGGGCCACACCCCCCCAACCCTTTTGTTTTTCTTTTTGGGGGTAAGAGTGCAAGAGGCAATTACTTTACTTCGTGTGATCCCCACCATGACATTTATACATGTTCTTACTGGCAAATCTTCTGGCATTCTATCTGACATATCTTCTGACATTCTATTTGGCATTCTATCTGACATATCTTCTGGCATATATTCTGACATATACTTATGGCATTCTATCTGACATATCTTCTGGCATTCTATCTGGCATTTTATCTGGCATATCTTCTGGCATATCTTCTGGCATTCTATCTGGCAAATCTTCTGGCATTCTATCTGGCATATCTTCTGGCATTATATCTGACATATCTTCTGGCATTCAATCTGGCATTCTATCTGGCATATCTTCTGGCATATATTCTGACATATCTTCTGTCATTCTATCTGACATATCTTCTGGCATATATTCTGACATATCTTCTGGCATATCTTCTGGCATATCTTCTGGCATATCTTCTGACATATCTATCTGGCATATCTTCTGGAATATTTTCTGGCATTCTATCTGGCAAATCTTCTGGCATTCTATCTGGCATTCTATCTGGCATATCTTCTGGCATATTATCTGGCATTCTATCTGGCATATCTTCTTGCATATCTTCTGGCATATCTTCTGACATTCTTTCTGACATTCTTTCTAACTTTCTTCTGCACATTCTTTGTCATATCTTCCTACATTGAGGTCCGGCAGGGAACCATTGGTATCGATATAGAGGGTGACACTGGTCGCGGATGGTCGTGGTTGAGGTCCGGCAGGGAACACTGGGCGCGGATGGTCGTGGTTGAGGTCCGGCAGGGAACATTGGGCGTGGATGGTCGTGGTTGAGGTCCGGCAGGGAACACTGGGCGTGGATGGTCGTGGTTGAGGTCCGGCAGAGAACACTGTGGATCGCGGGCCGCAGTTGAGCAAGGACGACGAGGACGACGAGGACGACGAGGAGGACGAGGAGGAGGAGGAGAGGAGGACGAGGCAGGAGGAGGCGGAGGAGGAGGAGGAGAAGGAGGAGGAGGAGAAGGAGGAGAAGGAGGAGGACGAGGAGGCAACTGACATAAAATCTAACAACCCTCACCTGGCAGGTGGGGAAAAAATGAAATGCCTAGAGGGAGAGGTATTTCGTCAGCGCTGTCTTTTTTCGGTTTTGTCTGGTGTCTTAGACTGCTTGAGGCCTAGGGGTACTCTGGTTTGGCAGAGTCCTAGGAGGCAGTAAGGGAGATATTTCCTTCCCTTGGTTTGGCAGGGAATGCAATATCTGGAACCCTTTCAAGGATGACACCTTTCATCATCTTTTGTTACTTGTTTAATTTAACAAAGTTGGTCTGCAATGGAAAAGAGGATGGAGTGAATGTTTGTATATATATATATATATTCTCACCTCACCGCCCCCCCCAGAACCCCCATATTGAGGATAAGGGCGCTGACCAGATAAAGATGTATCAAATACAATATTAACACATCATTCTAAGACATTGCAAATACCAGTAAGATATACGTGGTTATACCCTGACTTCAGGTATACTTCAACCAAATGTATAATTACATATATTTTGTATCGAAGCCAGAAATTGGCCTCCATATTTTAAGTTATCTCAAGCCAGAAAACTTGGAAAAACCAACAAAATCAACAAAAAACAATATTCCGGAACTCTTTTGGGAAGGACCCCAATTACAAAGCCAAAAAAAACATTGGAAAGACCAAAAAAAAACAAAAGAAAACAATATTCTGGAACTCTTTGGGAAGGACCCCACATCCAGAAGAGTACCCCAATATTGTTTTCTTTTTTTTTATTTTTTTGGTTTTTCCAAGTTTTTTTTTTGGTTTTGCACGTTTCCGATCCGGTTGAGCAACTGCACTTCCGAACAGCATTTGTTGATCGAGCCTCGCTCCACTCTGTTTCCTTGCAATGTCCTGTTTGCCTTGCGCCTGTGCTGCGGCTAAGCCGAAGTACTATCCGAGTGGCTGGGAGTATCTTGTCCAAATAAGTGACTTCAAAACAAACATTCTCTCACCTTCGCACCCTTGCTTGGATTCAAGTCTGCCACCTTCATCCCACTTCATCTCATGTTAGGTCTGACGATATGGAGGTGGAGGTCAATGATCCGCAGCCTCTTGTCTGAGAAATGTCTGTGCGCACTTGGGTCTGCAACCTTCAGCACACTTCATCCTATCTCAGGCCTGACGACATGGAAGTTGACACCAATGAGCCGGAGCATCTTGTACAAGAAATACATGACAAAACAGTTGTTTCGCATTGCCGTCTTCACAGGCCGCCTTTCATGTGCATCTACCCTCGCCAACGCCTCAGGGATGACATTCCCGTGGACGTCGGCCATATGGCACCTGTGACTCCGCCGGCTTTATTGGGCATCTGGCGAGGTGATGTTTTGGCGTGGCCGTTACCGGCAACACCAATGTCACCTAGGACGCCCGAAGCGCCACCTCCAACCACGCCCACTGAGGCGTTTTTACCGGGAACGCCCCCGGGCCACGCCCACTGACGCCTCCTGAGGTTTTTTTTTTCCGGGAACGCCCCCAGGGCCACCACCTCCGGTGCTCTACCTTTAACTCCGGCCACTATCTCCACGTGGCACGCTTGGGGGTGCGTGAGGATTGGCGAGCATGCTGCTTCATCTGAGCATATGTATATATATATATAATATAATATATATATAATATATATAATATATATATAATATATATATAATATATATATATATTTATGGAAAGTAGATAAACCGATAGATAAATAAAGAAACTAACGTCATATAAATGGTGTGTGTGTATATATATATATGGATATAATCCGATAGATAAATAAAGAAACTAACGTCATATAAATGGTGTGTGTGTATATATATATGGATATAATCTCATATTTCACCATGCCCAAATTTGGCTGGTTTTTTCCAACCTATATCACCGAGGCCATGGCTCCGGCGGATGGAGCCTTGGTGACGCTGAAGGGCATGGGATTCGATGACTTGATCGCCACAGCCAGCCTGCAAGCTGCAGGCCACTGGGAGCCACTAGGTTGGGTGGCTCGATGGCTGTGTGAAAGGACTAGCTGGTTGGGGACTATTGAAAACACACTGCCATGCAGAAAAAAAGAAAGGTATAGGGCTCTGGCACTGGGGAAGATTGAGGGGCGAAGATTTGATCCGATGGTGAAGCATGGATTTTTTCGACGAAGTATCAGGAACATGGCTTGGGTTATCCCCGTTGCCACGATGACAGAGTAAAGGTTCTAGTTGCGATGGCCGACTCTTGCGATAAGCAACAATCAAATCAATGGTCAATGGGTGGTATTTGCGATTGTTTCGTTACTTAGACGAGTTCCATATATGCATATATCATATATATATACATACATACATACATGCATATATATATATATATGTACATTACATACATTACATACATTACATACATTACATACATTACATACATTACATACATTACATACATTACAGACATTACAGACATTACAGACATTACAGACATTACAGACATTACAGACATTACATACATTACATACATTACATACATTACATACATTACATACATTACATACATTACATACATTACATACTTTACATACATTACATACATTACATACATTACATACATTACATACATTACATACATTACATACATTACATACATTACATACATTACATACATTACATACATTACATACATTACATACATTACATACATTACATACATTACATACATTACATACAGTACATTCATTACATACATTGCATACATTACATACATTACATACAATACATACATTACATACATTACATACATTACACTACATACATACATACATACATACATACATACATACATACATACATACATACATACATACATACATACATACATACATACATACATACATACATACATACATACATACATACATACATACATACATACATACATACATACATACATACATACATACATACATACATACATACATACATACATACATACATACATACATACATACATACATACATACATACATACATACACATACATACATACATACATACATACATACATACATACATACATACATACATACATACATACATACATACATACATACATGCATGCATGCATTCATGCATGCATGCATGCATACATACATACATATTCGTATGTATATATATATATATATATCACAGGCTGCACCTCTGACCCTGGTGGATGTGACCCCCATAGAAAACACAAAATTACTGGATTGGTTTTATGTTTTTTTGTTTTTTTTGTTTTTTTTTGTTTTTTTTAAAAATGTTTTTTGGTTTTATGTTTTTTTAACATGTTTTCTTACTCTTACTGTCAGTTGCTGTCAGATACTCACTGTTAATTCCAATGTTTTTCAAGAAACTTCTGACATATTTTCAACACGTGAATCGTGTCGGCCTATCATCGAAAGATCTTTGGTTCAAACATGGAAATGGAACCCGACCCTGCTGAGTCAGTGTCAGAAACTAGCTGGTACCCTGAAATTGTCCTGCTAATGCGAGATGTGAAAATGAAATCGTTTGTAAAGAAAGAGGGGTGTTTGCGAAGACATCTATGGGAACCGAACTGGCCTCGGATTTGAGTTACAAGGACAACCACTTGGGAGACGCATTAACCTAGATTTTTCCGGGTGCATCTTTTTGGGGGGTACGGTCACCCAAATGGTTTTCAAAATAAACATGAAGAAACCAAAAAAAATTAAAAAACATAAAGGTTGAGAGGGGTCAGACCCAGAATTAGGTGGGGAACTGGGTATCTGACCCCCTTACCATGTACACCCCTGACATGCGTGTCCTGGAAATACCTAGGGCCTAGGGATGACAAAAATGGGACTTACTACCCAATATCTTGGCTGAGGATCGGCAATATACAAAGCGCATCGGCTCTGCCTTTTCTAAGGGAAACAAAAACAACCCATTGCTGGTAAAAACCTACCAGCCAAACCTCACAAGTCAGGACCTTCAAAGAAAGAGGAAAAAACTGCCAAGGTCCTTAAGGTGAAAAAAAAATGGCAAGAAAAAATCATGGTAGATGTCTCAGACATGCGCCCGACGCCCAAAAAATGATTGCCTTCAAGCCTGATTGCTTGTGTCTTTGGAGATTGACCCACACTTGGCACATAACTTTGAGATGGCTTAAACCACCAAAGCCTGCATATACACCCCATGGGGTTCAGACTCATGGGGTTCAGATCAATCCCCTGTGTATATATATATACATACATACATACATACATACAATTTATACATACAATTTATACATACAATTTATACATACAATTTATACATACAATTTATACATACCATTTTTACATACATACATATATGCATACATGCATGCATGCATGCATGCATGCATGCATGCATACATACATACATACATACATACACACACATACATACATACATACAGACACACAGACAGACAGACATACATACATACGTACGTACGTACGTACGTACATACAGACACACAGACAGACAGACATACATACATACGTACGTACGTACGTACGTACGTACATACACGTATGTATGTATGTGCATGCATACCGTTCTATCTTGTTTAATCCGTTGAGGCCAGGGATTAGACCAGCGCGTTTTTCTTCGGTTGACTACAATGCAACATTATTCTGGCACAAGGCTGATGGTTGTGGTTTGATGCCATTTGTAAATTACTATTCCAAAATTGCAAATGTAGTATGACCATCATGGTAGTTGGCCAGACCTGACAGTTTCTCATGGGGCATTTTAAAGCAAGATGGCAAGACTTGGGACAAGTTAGGACAAATTTACCAACAATGATTAAGATTTGGCAAGGCTCACTGGAAGACACGCCCTTTCATGACAACACTCCCTCGCATTGTCACCTACGTTCATAGGCTTCCATATTGATGCAATGCAGCAATCAAACATTGTGGTTTTCAGCGCCACACGGGAGGCCCTACATGTACTTAGCAATTTCCACATTTGTTTGGATCTTAAGATATGGAAAAATAGATGCTGAAATACATGGATCATCCTTGGAGATACCCAAATCGGACGCTTCTTAAACCCTGGGGCTGAACCTTTCCCACTGCAGGTGGAAACCTTGAGAAGGCCATAGTGATGCTCACAAGCAGCTAGGCACCAAAAGGTGCTAGCTGGGGGTGGTTCTGATTGAACCCAGAGGCGCAGCCTAGGTCATGCATTGGAATGCTTTGAAAAATTTCAAAAGAAAATCATCTAAGAGAGTCATCGCACTTGGACCTTAGTAAAACGCCATATCTTGGTAGTTGGAGATCCTGGGTATGGGCTGATCTAGTGGGATGCAACCTTCAGCGCGCGCACTTGCACCTGTGGCTGTGCCAAACAACGACAGTTTTTTGGACGGACAGATCTGAAGACCGGCAACCTTCAGTGATGCAGGAGTTCTACTATAAACCACGGAAGGTCAAGAGTCTTTATTTTCAAATCTGCTTTCACCATTGGTTTACCACTATTTTGCTCACCTTTGTTTGCCGAATTGTCTGCAAGCGAAACTTGGTCGTCCGGAGATTCCAGAATCACTTTTCGCCGGAGAGACAGGAGCGTTTTTCTGTGCGGGGAGGGGAAAAGAAAGGGTGCTCCGGGGGGGGCGATTCGGCTGGGAAAATTCTATAGCAACCTCCCAGCGACCTCACCCTTCATGGTAAGATGACATGGGGATTCTGCAGGATGCAGCCGATCCCTCAAACGCAACCCGGAGGAAGTTGTAGACATTCTAAAAAACCACAAGGATTCACTTTAGATTTTCCAGTAGTTCACTGTACTATATATCTTCTGGGTGTCTAAAAGCTCACATGGCGCCGATCAGGGAACCGCGGGTGGTCCTGGTGGGTGTGCCGTTGCATCGCCTGTCGCGAAACCATCAGCTGCCCTGTTTGGCCCTGCTGGTGGCCTGCCTGCGCCAAAATTTTGGAGGGTTTCAACTGCATCCATTTCTGGTGATATTTGGGATGATGTATTCATTCAAATCCCAACATATCCCAACAAATTATTGGTTTTAGCATATGATCAACAAAAGGCATGTCATTTTTAGTCTTAAATGGCCTGACCTCTCGCGCGGTCAGAGGACATTCGGGCTTAAAATTAGAGTCCCTCAGCCTAGAAATGTCGTTTGACTGCGCGAGAAGTCACGCCTGGCTGTTGGACCGTCCATTTTTGGAGATCGTTTCGACCCATAAAGGGGTTATTATCAGTCATTGGCCAGCTGGCAGTTTCGAAGTTTTGGAAGCTTGGAACCCTCCCTTCTCATGAATGGATAGCATTTCAATGTCATATATTTTATCATCATGGCGCCCCAGAATCTAGACCACCAAAGCACCAGTTGACCATGGGCTCAGAGTAAATTATCTCCCTTAACATTGATTTTGCACAGGTAAATGCAGCATGTCTCTCGCATCCCATTTTTTTACTGTAGTATATTGATTCTTGGGGCTTGCACTCAACTGGGGCAGTGGTTGGACAATGGGACTATGCAATTTTATTTTTAATTGTATAAGCATCTGATTTAGCCAGTTGACAAAGTCATTATTTTTTTTTACCAGTGTAACCACTTGCGGCTCCATGGGGTTTCCACGGATGGGACTATCAGATTAAAGCTGTGGGGCCAGACCTGAGCAGAGGTCTTGATCAGCAGCATTCTTGCAGCCGCACTGCAAGAGCGTGTGCTCTATGTGCCGGGCTTCCGCTACACAGGCGACTTGGTTCGATACTGGGGCTAGCATGATTTGCGTGAAGCTCCACACCGGCCCGGGCCATCCAGGATGGTTGGCGTTTCTCACATCTTTCACCTACATGGCCCTAGCCATGGTCGAACGTGTCGTGGAAAGGGACTTGCTCCTCGGTGGAAATAAGGGAAGGCTGCCTGGTGATGGTTTCAAATTTCAAACATGTTTATTTTATCCCTTCTTTGGCATAGTGGTCCAAAATCAGTCGAACTTTCTCAATTCTTTCAGGTGGGGTTCAAACCACCAACTAGAATTTTGAGGTTGCGACGAGGAAGCTTCGCAGAATACGTGAAGTTGTCCTTTCTGACAATGGGCGGCATGTACTTTACCAACTTCAGACGCCTGGCTTTGCGCAGCATTTCAAAATAGGTGGGTTGGGCAGCCGGGCTGCCAGCTTCAATTCTTGATCCAGTCATAGCCAGTTTTTGGGCTTCAGCTCCAGGTTTGCATTACCTCAGCTATTCGTTGCGCGTGGTCTTCAAATCCAGCAGCTCGGATGACACTGTGCCCGAGGTTTCTCTTGCGGTTCCCGCAAGATGCCAGTTTAATAGTGGGCCAATACATGCCAATACCAAGTATATATATATGATGATTATGAAGATCAAACGGTCTCCGCAGAAAGACGAGCAGGATTGCCTTTCCATTTGTGGTTCTCTTCAGGAGCAATAAGATGTTCCCCTGGTTGAGGTCATGGTTTCCAGATCTGCTGGATGACGGCAGGGGAAGATTAGGAGCAATTTGCAAACAGCGAACTCTGAGGCAAACTGGTTCCTGTGATGCTGCTGGGCGTAGTGTATCTGCCACTAGGCCCATTATGATGGTAATGGACTAGGTTGGACCGTCAATGCCAGTTTCGAACCAAGATATGTGGCAGGGTTGGCGGATTTGGCCTGACAGAAATCACTGATGTCAAGTGGGAAAAGCTTGAATAAAATCAATATGAATGATTTGATATGAATACATGACCCAACCAGTGGCCCCAGTGAAACACTTCTGCCTTGAACGGGGCCCCTTCATGTGAACTGTGGAATTCAACAGCCATGGGAGTTCAACCGGTGAGGCGTTCGCTTGTGCCGCTTTTTATTTCGTCGCTTGTGCCGCTTTTTTGCTCGTCGCTGCCGCTTTTTATTGTCATCTGGCATTTTACCTGTAAATTTGTGTATAAAGTGGCTCTTGTGCACGCGCATGTCGACTGTGCAGCCTCCCACATAGTCTGTGTCGGGGTCTTGGTCCACTGGGGCTCGGCTGTACTTTAACGTGTGAGTGAACGTTAACATCCCAACCCCACCCCACCCCAACCCCACCCCAACCCCGTGGGCCTAAAAGGTAGAACCATTGCTAAATGTAAGGCAATTGTATTGTAAGTTGGCTCATAGTATCGTTTTATGGACTGCTTTGCACGTAATCAGCTTGTAATTCATACCTGGATCTTCGAAAGGACACAAATAATTGTCCGTTTGCAAGATTTCTGCCCTTAGGGCGGATTTCTTGTGAAGGAGCTGGAAACGGTCGTTTTTTTACTACAGCGGTCAATTTTGGATTACGTACCTTTTGGGCTGATCTTAATCTACTTTGAATAAAAATGTGTCGATTTTTCACAGAAATTTCGGCGCAACTGATCGGCAAAAAAGTAGGGCCACAGTTTCGTCGCAAGTGATCGGCGAAATTTCGTCGTAAGATGTCGTAAGTGGATGGCAGACCAGTTCAACCCAAACAATTGCAAGGAGAAAAAATAAAGTGATAATGGGTGATTATCATGTTGAGTAGAAAGGTGATGGGAGGAATCAGGGGGTACATGCAATATCATGCAATCATTTCGGGGGATGTATGAGAGATACCAGAATTATACATAATTAATCATAATTACATAAATCAGATAGAATTCATGATATATATATATATAATCATATAATTTATAATTATATGTTTGTATAAATAAATAAATAAATAAATAAATAAATATATATATATATCTATATACGGTATACACACTATGTTTATTGGGTTTATCCAAGAATTGGTGCATGTACCTCAAAAAAGTTCGGTTTTTCAATGGGGGTCCCACGTCTGTTCTCACCATCGATCGCCAAGGAAGAAGCGATACACCGTCGCCCAGTACGCCGCTGTTGGCCTACTTACCGCTGGTGCCTTGCTGGGCGGACATGCAACCACTGGGGCTTCCTGACATTTCCTGGCTGTCAGCCGTTGAGATGAACAGTGACTAATCTGACTAATAGTGGATATAATATACCCACTTGTTTTTATAAGATTTGCGCAAGGTTCTGTTGCTGCTCACTTGCTGATGTTTGAGAGGATATTTGTGGAGTGTAGCTGGCTCATTCCAGGAATGCTTTGGCGGATCCCAAGCTTTAGCGGCAGTTCTCCTTGTTATTTTCTCTCACTTGTGGGGTAATTCTTATCCCTTTGCCCCTTCGATGAATTTATTTTGTGAGCTTTGCTCATTGGCTCATTCCCCTTTGCACATGCATTTCCTTGTTTCTCATTGGGGATGGATCCAGCACCTAGACCATATTTTTGTTGGGGATGAACATCCATAAATCCCCAAGCTGGGGGGTTCACCAGGGTACTCTGCCAGGTGTGGTGGTCTTTACCCTTGGGGACGCCAAAGGCAGATGAACATCCGGCCAGCTGTGGCTTCACCATTGGTCCGACCAGTAACCACATCATGAAATCCAACCATGGATTAACCTTTCGAAATCAAACCAACGAAAACCGTCATGATCAACCATGATCTCCCATAAAACATTCCCATCTAAAACATCTTCGCATTGTGGTTTCATCAGTTTCATCCCCATTTCGGGTGAAAATCCTGTGGCTTTCATCACCATTTTGGCTGTTCAAAAAAAATCCCGATGAAAACCATCCATCATCCCAGTTCCATCAGTTTCATCCACATTTTGGGTGAAAATCCCATGAAAATCCCATGAAAATCCCATGAAAACCATCCCGCGTTCTGGAGGCCGCGCCTTCTTCAACCCCGTGGGCATCGCCTTCATTGTGGCCGGCTCGCTGTCGGACGCCATGGCGGCGAACTACGAGGAGAAGGTCTTCTTCTCCAGGCGGGGCGCCTGTTATGCGGGGTTTGGGTGATTTTCTGGGATGTTATGAGGATTTCTTGGGTTTTTTTGGTGGTTGGACTTGGTGGAATAAACGGGATAACCATATGTATGTGGTTTATATACACTTAGTACATAGCCAGTGTTTTGTAAACTACTTAGTCACTACCCAATCAGTTAATAACCATAGTAGAAGGTAGTTATATGGAATGTCCCCTAAGATGAAGAGATTTTGGGCTCACCACTGATGCCTGGGATGCACCTGCTGGAGGTGACAGTTGCTCCTTTAAAATCACCACAAAATCCTATGAGCCCCCAGACATGGGAATTTGACATGAGACTCATTTATGAGACAAAGGGTCAAACTTTCGAGCCCAGACATGGTCTACCATCTGGTAATGAAACGCGGCAATGGAAAATCCAAGATATTCATGGAGGCTTTAGGAAAATCAAATGGTGGCCATTGCCATGTCAGATTACCGGAGGGCAATCAAATCCACAGTGCATCTGGGTAGGTGCTGAACCTTGGTGCTGACATATCCGGCATTTTTCAGTGTTCAAGGTCTGTGTTTTTGTTGCTCAACTTCCCAACGAGTGAGTGCAACTCTTGTTGCCCAGTTGATTTGCGATGGTCCTGGATTTCTGGCTCAAATGAGAATCAATATCCTCCAGATATTTTTGAATCGAACGCACGCAAACTCGCAAACTTTCTGAAACATCAACCAACCCACCATATCCCCGCTGGACAATTACTGCATATATGCAGCTTTTCAACTGCTGAAGAAAATGATGGTGCTGAGCTGCAGAGCCTCTGAAACTTGGACTGTCCTGTCAATCATACGTAGCCATAGCAACCTCGCATACATCCTTTGACTTAAGTAGCTTGCGTACCCCTCCAGTCGGTCCAATGGAGATCAGTTTGGCTTGCAATTTGCGGGTCGTTCTTCCCAGCGGTCGCTGCGAAATTGTGGCAGTTCCACAGGATTCACGCGTTTTTGCCTTGAAAGAGGCTGCTCAACGAGCTCTTCAACAGGGATTCCTGAGATTGGTCGCTGGTGATGTGCGACTAGATGGGATGCAAACTTTGGAGGCCTGTGGCTTAAGGGATGGAGACAGTCTCACAGCAGTAGCACTTCCAACCAGGGTTGCGGCAACTGAACGAGCCTTTGCCATGTGGTGCCCAGGAGGGGACCGGATCGTCACATGGGGCGATCCTGCGTACGGAGGTGGAAGCTTTGAAGCGCATGAGAGGTTCCGAACAGTGCAATACGTGCAAGCGACACATCGTGCCTTTGCTGCCATCCTTGGTGATGGACGCGTCATTGCTAAGGGCAACGCTGGTTATGGTGGGGACAGCTCGAGAGTCCAAGATCGCTTAAGGAACGTTCAGCAGCTGGTCTCTACCCTACGTGCCTTTGCTGCGATTCTGGAAAATGGAAGTGTTGTGACCTGGGGCCACGACGAATATGGTGGCGATAGCTCCAATATCCAGCACCAACTGCAAGAGGTACGACACGTCCACAGCACGGATCAAGCCTTTGCAGCGATTCTGTCCACTGGACGAGTTGTTGCTTGGGGCCTGCATCAGTGGGGCGGCGACTGCCCCACGGTCCAAGGGCTGCGAGACGTGCAGAGATTGGAGGCCACGGCTGGTGCTTTTGCTGCACTCTCAGATGGAAGGGTCGCGACCTGGGGACATGCTGACTTCGGAGGTGACAGCATTTAAGACCTGTTGAGACGAAGTTTTGAAATCACCTTTTAAGTTTCATTTGAAATCTTGGAATGGAATCTCTTTGACCATAAATCATAAACATACCTTTCCCACAGGGAAGACATCCAAGCTGAGGCGCTTCGGTGGCCAATCTCTTAACGGATGTGAAAGAAGTGAAGGCCAACATGCGCGCTTTTGCTGCTTTGTTGTCTACTGGCTCTGTGATCACCTGGGGCCATCCGCGCTACGGGGGTGACAGCTCTGAGGTTCAACATCTGTTGATTGATGTGGAACGGATCCATCCCAGTAAGGGCGGGGCCTTCGCAGCCGTCTTGGCAAATGGTACGGTGGTGACCTGGGGGCTTCCAGCCTATGGAGGCGACAGTTCGGCAGTGCAACCTCTGCGAAATGTGCGGCAGGCGGGGGAAACGAGTGGGTGATGGGTTGGACTTTGGACCCATCAACTAAGATGTATATATATATATTATATATATATACACAGTATAATTGGGATTCGTTGTTTGGCCATCCAAGACTGTTTTTTTTGGTACTGTCTGGCAATCTCAGATAAATCAGATAACTTTTTCGTAGATGGCCATTGTTGCGATGATTTAACAAACACTGGTCTTTACAATCGGTATGTTACAGTACCATGTCGGACATCCGTTCCAAAGACCTGGAAGTTGCGGCAAAAAAAGTGCCAGGTTCAAGCCACCTCCGGAGCCTTTGCAGCGACTGTATCCGATGGTTCGATCGTCACTTGGGGCGATTCCAGGTATGGAGGGGACAGCTCTGGGGTCCATGATCGGCTGAGGAATGTGCAGCAGATCCACTCGACGTCGCGTGCGTTTGCGGCCATTCTGATGGATGGACAAGTGGTGACCTGGGGCGATTTTGGCTTTGGGGGCAACTGCAACAGGGTCAGGGAGCAGTTCACGTTGATGTCGTGACGGCCAAAGTGCTGCGTCTCCGCTTGTTTGAAGAGCTGCCCAAAGTGGCAGCACTTCAGGATCAAGGCAGTGGTCAAGTTGACCTTGGCGCTCCAAGGGGTTGCGACTTGAGACATGGAGATTGTGAGTCTGCTAGTGACTGCTAGTTGTATCTTGGAAGTGAAGAGTATCTGGTAGAATCTGGAGTGACAATGAGGGGAATTTGACCACAGCTTTGGCTTCAGCAATGTTTCAAGAGCCAAAGAAATTTGCTCCTTAATCGAGACTTGCCTAGACAGTCAAAGTGCAAGGAAATATGTTTCTGGGTAAATTATGATGGCAAAAAACGAGATCATCCCACAATAGCCTTAATTCAGGTTAGCGAATTATTATGATTTACCCAGATGTTTGAGTGGGGGTGCCTTTTACACGTCTAGTATCTTGCAGTTGTTCCACACAAATAATTGAACGTAAATCGGCAGGATGATGGACAGGGCTCATGCTGCAGGTGGCTGCAGCAGCAGCGGCGACGAGGATGATGAGGATGAGGATGAGGATGAGGATGAGGATGATGATGATGATGATGATGATGATGATGATATTGATGATGATTGATGATGATGGAATAATATGAACATGTTGTTCCATGATATTAACAGATATGAAAAGCATCCGAGTTAGTTTAATATAATCGTTATATCATTTATGTAAACCCTTTTTGATATCTATATCATATATCATGGTACATCCCATAATATCCCATATATGAATATCTATATATCATTATATATCCCATAATATCCCATATGAGCTATGGTCAATACTCATGGTTAATAACCATTAATAGGGGCTAGTCATCCAATGGTTCATAGGGATTTATAATAACCATTATAAGGATCCTTATTATGGATGGGATGACCATCAACCATATAGTGAGTATTGACCATATAGTATATCGATATATCATTATATATCATTATATATCATTATATATCATTATATATCATTATATATCCCATATATTATATGAATGACAATTTGTGATGACTAAATTCATATGTCAAAAAAAAACCCATCCTATCTCTCCAGACTCGACAGCTCGCCAGGATGGGCTGCTCGGCCAGTGAGGTGGTCTTGTACAGCAGTGCGCTGGGAAGTGTGCCTTGGTGCCGCGGACGTTGAGTTTTTTTGGTTGAAGAAACCATCAAAAACCAAGAAGACCTGGAGATTTTCATGGGATTTGTATGGTGTTGTGGTGATTCTATGGAGATTTTCATGGGATTTTTCATGGTGATGTTGTTTTTGTTCGATTTGATGATGATTTTTGATGTCGATGTCACTGGGATTTAATGGTAATTTCATGCTGATCGAATGGCGAATTCGACCAGCACGGTTCCAACACACCTACTGTGGTGATGGTGAAAAGGACATCCACCATAGCATGGTCACTAAGTAAGTAGCCTCCAGTTTAGCCTCTAGTTTTATGAAACCTGGTGCTTCGGGGGTCGGAAAATCACTTGTAGATGAAGAATAATGAGTCAATGAGGGATCACTCCAAGGGGGAGATTACGCAGCATGTCTATTTGATTGTCTAATGTAAATGGATGCACATGGAATATTCTCGAGTCACATTTGAATCCCATTTCCGGAAACTATTCAATGTGTTCTTTATTCCCATCCGAAAATACTGTAAATGATTTTTTTCACGGCATGACACATCCCCAAAATGACTTTGATCAGGTGGCTGAAGCACCAACTATACACCAGTCAGCTTGACTGGTGCTTCGGGTTTTGGTCGGTGATACACCAAGCTGATCTAAAAATTTCCAGGGAATTCGAGGCACCAAATTTCCTACCAATCAACCTCTTAGGGTGTACCAAACCGACGATAAGTTGGTCCATTCTGAGCCATCCTTGGTGTTTTGGGGCCAAGCAATTCATATATATCTCCATTTTGCGAGTGAAGTTCCGATGTTTGCTGGGGATATGGGATACAGGATACATAATCTATCATAATATATCATACTATTATGTATAAATAAGATTAAATATATAAGTATAAGCAAATAAGGTAGATAAAAACTAAATAGCTATGTGTATATATGAAATATGCCTTTTTATCCCTTGATGACGGTTGCAACCACTTGCATCACAGCTTCTCGGGTCAAGTATATGAGTGTAGCCCTAATTGCCACTGAAATTCTTCGCGAAGCTCGCCATCTTTTCCATCCAGCTGTTTCTACCTGCCCTTGGGGAGCGGTAGCATTGGTGGTGATTTTGGCATTTCTGAGTGGCATATCAGTAGGATCGTGCATCACCTGTTGTTTCTTATCCCGAAACTGTCAACGAGGTGGGATTCTGGTTGCAAGGATCATCTCTGGTTATTTGGCTCCCCAGGCTCTTTCTGCTAGGGATCGGTTGGCTGAATACCGTAGGGAGCTGTGAATGGAACCAGGCCGTGAGGAACAAGAACTGGTTTTTGAGTTTTCTCAGCTGCGTATTTCAGTGCGTGTGACTGTTGAGCCCATTGCTGGGGCATCATCTACTGGGCCGGTTGGTGTTGTGAGTGTCGCTGCGGGGGCCTCCTCAACACCACCTCCAGAGCCAGTGATTGTGGATCCTTATTTGATTTCTGTTGACCTTGAAAACCAGGTGTTGCAGGCAGACCGAGCTGAGCGGTTGGCTGAACTCCCACTGCCGTTTTTGAGAGCTTGGGAAACTCGGCTGCGAGGCCAGGATCCAGTCTGGACTCCACGAGCTAGATTGGCTCGTGCATTCAGAGCTGGGGTTGCGGCTTGTCGTCGACTCGAAGGTCAATTTGTGGAGGCCAGTTCTCCCGTGATTCCTTTTCAAAATTCCATCTACATCATCCTTCGATCCCCGAGTCTTCCTGCAGGAGGGTGGACTACCAACTACTCGCTGTTCATTTGCAACTGCGGGAGAAACGCGACCAGTGATTTCGATCGTACGACAGTGTGCCAGAGCCTGGCAACGAGGGTTGAAGCAGACGCATTTCTGCTCGGTGCTCGGCGGCCATGGCCTTCTCAGTTGCAGTGAACTGTCCCCCCCTTTCGAGGGAGGGGATCGCTGGCTTAGTTGCAGAAGTCAGCGGCGATCGAGTTTTGAGTCTTACTGCAGTGTGGCTGCAAATCCAGCCAGAGGTAGAAGCTTCCGAGTCAGATCTTCCAACCTTTGCCGCTTGTTATCCCTTGATGCAAAGAGAACATGGTTTCATGATCTTAGCCCCGCGTCTGCCCGAAGTGGTCGAGTGCGTTTCCAGTCTAGGATCAAGCAGCTCTCTAGATGTAGTGACCTGGGATGCCACCGTGGACATTGTTGGAACTCGAGGCAGATCATTAGGCACTGCAGATTGTTTCCTAGCAGATTTGTCCTGGGATGTGGCCGGTCTTTTTCTGAAAGCCCTGTCGAGTCGCAGTCGCACCTATCGGAACGTCCATTTGCTGCAGTTTGTCATCAATGGGTCTGCCGGAAAACCCAGCGCCTCCTCGGCGCTTCAGCTGGCCGAAGAGTGGATCTCTGCTGGCGACGGAGGGTTGGACGAAGACACAGTGCAAGAGTATCACACTGGCGAGGAGTTCGAAGAAGACGCTCCGCCTACACCCTCGATCGCTCCAGCCGGGGCCGAGGTAGGTGCTCTGCAGAAAGAGATCGAAAAACTGAGGCAAGAGTTGAAAGCTCGCAGCGCTCCAGATCAAGTCGTTCCAAGACTTCCTGCCGGACGACATGGCCAGGAGCAACGGTTGTTTGCTCGCCCGCAAGATCCTTCCGGTCTTCCATCTCCAGATCTGCAAAAGCTTCGCATGATGGCTGGCAACCCTCCAGGCCGTCTAGGCAATGCAGTGGCAAAGCAGGGGCAGCCCGATCTACCGGATCAGGCACTACTGGAAACGGTCCATGCGGAGTTCGAAAAGGGGGCGGCCGAAGAGTCCGCTCTGCAGTTGCCGGACTTCAATGTGGACCCCAGCCAGATAGCGGACCCTCTGCAGAGAATGCTGGTTGTTCAGATGCAGCAGAACACCTTGCTCCTCCAGAAGATGATGCAGCCAAAGGACACAATGGCCAGCCTGCTATCAGGCGGCGGGGCCAACGAGTCAGGAAGCAGCTCAGGAGGGGCCCGAGGTTGTGTAGCCCGGGATGTGTTCCTGCGCAGTGTTCGGAACCTGGGCCTGGTTGCCGAAATGGCTCGGTCGAATGCTCTGCAAGAGCTGGGCATATCGCGGGATCGAGAAGACAAAGATCTGATGCACCTCTACATCGAGAAGAGGATTCCACTGGCAGATCAAAAGTTGCTTGCCCACTTCGCGGTTCTTGCTGCGGAAGGCTGGTCCATTGCACACATGTCCCAGAACCTGGAGGTGCAGGGGTTCCTTGCGCGGATGCTCTTCTTTGTGGAACAATGTGCATTGGATGCTGGCCGAGTGGAGTTGGGCTGGCTCATGACGGGCTTTCCAGAACCCAACGCCCATCTCCATTTTCCGCTGCGAAGGACCCCAGGTCTCAAGCCCTTTACGAGGCTATGCAGCCCGCTGTGGGTCAGTGCCAATTTGGCCTACCTGCGGGATTTGGACTATCTGGATGGGAGAATTCAGACCCTGGGGAAACCAAGATCGAAGGGCAATGCAGCAGCCGAGGATCCAGAAAGGCCCAAACCAAAAGCCAAAGTAAAGCCCGGGAAGGGAAAGAAAGGAGGGGGAAAAGATGGAGAGAGCCAGGACTCGACAGCAGCTTAGGTCCGGTTCTTTCTGAGGTGGGCAAAGCTGGTAGCTTGACTGACCATCTTGGGGTCCAGTTCGAGAGCCGTCAGCCTTCTGTTCAACCTTCAGCTATGAGCCAACAGCCCAACGCAGCATGTCGCTGGAGCTCCTTGGAGAAAGGTTTGTCAAGCCCGTGTTCAGGTAGTGGTAATTGCACAGACCAGTTAGACCCATCACCTGATAGTTCTCCTCTCCATCCTCCCCCAACCAGAGATAGGCCTATCGATAACGATTGTCCGGTTTCTGGTAGAGTTTTTAATCCATATAATTTAATGCAAACTATCTGTAGGGAGTCTCTTTCTGCTCGAACTGCCTTAGGCCAGTTTTGTAGGGAAAGCCTCTTGATGCAAGAAGCCTCGCATGTGAAACCTCCCCCGGGGAGGCCCCTTTGGCCAGTCCCGCTGCCCAGGTGGTGTTGGACGCCTTGCAAGCAGTTGAATCCAAGACGAAGGAGGCGGAATCGTCAGCACAGAATCCGGTTTGAGGCCGTTCGACTGATTCTAGCCTGCCTAAATTGGGAAGTGCTGGGTCATCCTGTGACCGCAGCGCCTTTTGAATCTCAGCTTAGATGTCCCATTTCTCCGGCTCAGCATCTGATCATTGAGCACTTGGAAAACCTAGTGAACCACCATTTGTGCTGTGGTGATTTTGTAGGGGAGGACTTGGGCCGGTTTCAAGAGAAATATTCATCTGTAATTAGGCTTATTCAGGAACTACCGCAGTGTCAAGCCGCGGGTGAGGACCTAGAAAGCGTGCTAATTGAATTGCATCGTGACATGGATCCTTACCATGGCCATTTTGGCCGGGGTCCCCCAAAACATGAACAGTGTCATCAGCCCAATGCCGACCATGAGTGTACTTTTGAGCGCAAAGCGCATTTGCCTTCGTCAGGCGCCCGCGATGTAAAATCTTCCCGAATTAAATGGCAATTTCCTCCCAGCTTTGAGGCAGGTCAGTTCCTGACCCATCCTGTTGTGAAAGCTGCGTTTGACGACCCTGAAGTCATGAGGAAACCTCGAGAGTTGTGGCCAAAGGGTCGACCTGCCAAGATGAGCATTGCAAAGGATGAATTGCTGGCCTTAGCCAAGAGGTGGGATGACCTAGGCGCAATCCGACTTCTGCCTGCTGAGGAAAAGCCATGGGATGAAGCCGTGGGTATTTTTGCCGTAGGTAAGGATAGCACCCATGACCGCCTTATCATAAATCCCCAAAATATTAATGGTAGGATGTGGACCATCAGTGAATCGACAAAATCTTTGGCTCCTGGAGCCATGTTGGGATTGCTGCATTTGGAACCGGATTGTGCTTTCAGATTCAGCGCAGATGATTTGTCAGATTTTTATTACACTTTTAAGGTGTCAGCTGAGCGAGCCAAGCGGAATGCATTTCGTTTCAAATTTCGGCCTTCTGAACTTAGCCACCTGAAGTGTTTTGATCCGACTTTCTATGAAAAATCCCATTTGTTAATTTGTCTTAGTACCTTAGCCATGGGCGACAACCTCGCCGTAGAGATTGCACAACAAGCGCATGGTAATGTACTTAGGAAATTATGTGGCTCTATGCGAGATGAAGAGACCCTACAGTATCGGCGACCTGTGCCAAGAGGGGACTTCATCGAATTGCTTGCCATTGATGATCACGTAGGTATCCAGCGCGTCCTCATTGATGACCTCCCCAAAGTTCCCCGCCTTCGTGATTCTGAAGTCTTTACTAGTGCTGCTAAAGCATATAAGCATGTAGGGCTCATTCAACAAGAGAAGAAGCAGAAGCGGAATGAAACCGGGGGCATCATTTTGGGGGCTGATTTTGACGGTTTGAAAGGGCGTGTGATGGCGCCTCGAAGTCGCATCCTCTTGCTGTCACTGATCAGTATGCAGATTGTAAGACTAGGCACCATCACTCGGCGTTTGCTCAACTTGCTTGTTGGATGTTGGGTTCATGTTTTGCTGTTTAGACGAGTTCTTTTCTCTGTAATGGATTCACTGTTCAAAGACGGACTTGATCATGATCCGGATGCTGTGTTTTGTTTGAGCCGCCAATCCCTCAATGAACTTCAGATTCTTGCAATGTTAGGGCCAGTCGCTCAGAGTGATCTTAGGGTCTGTTATTCCAAACATGTGTATATGACCGATGCAAGTCCTAGTGGAGGGGCTGTCGTTCGAGCGGAAGTGGGGCCCAAGGTGAGTCAGGAAATTTGGAGGCACACTGAACAGAAAGGGTTTTATACCAAGCTGCAGAGCCCCATTTCCCAAATCCTTTCAGAGCATGGCATTGAACCTGAATCCATGAACATGTTCCAGGATCATCTGAAGCCCATCCCTGAGACTGTCGATGTTCCACAACCTTTGCACGAGGGTTTTATTTTCGACTGCATAGAGCTGTTCCGCGGCACGGGAAACTGGTCCGAAGCTCATGTCGCTGCCGGGTTGGTTGTTCATGACGGCATAGATCTTGACGGTCGCCGCATTCGAATCGGCGACATCACCAATGATAGCGTTTGCCGCGAGCTGCTGGGTCTGGCCGCTAGGCGGGTTGTTAGGGACTGGCATGCGGGGGTCCCGTGTCCATCTTTTGGAACGCTGAGAAGACCTCAGGTCCGATCGAAGCGTGAGCCTTTTGGTTTTGACCCCACGGATCCCTATACTGCATACCACAACAAGATTGCCCAGCGGACAGCCCTAGTCCTAATTCTTGCCATTCGCCACGGATCTTTTGTCAGTGTTGAACAGCCCCGGAATAGTCGATTGTTCCACTTAAACCTCTATAAGACTTTAGTTAGGTTAGGTTGCATCATCACCCATTTTGCTTTCTGCGCTTTTGGCAGTGGTTTTCATAAACCTTCAAAGTGGCTGCATAACAAGCCCTGGCTTGCACATCTGGGGTGCAAGTGTTCGTGCAAAAATCAAGGTCATCATTTTGTAGTGCAAGGCACCTTCACAAGAGATACCATTGCAAAATTTGACAAGATGTGTTGTCCGGATACAAAGACAGTTTATGGATTGGTGCCTGTCCCTGGGGAACGTGTTTCCTCCTTTTCAGCTGCGTATCCACTCAGGTTGGTCGAGATCATGGCTGCGGGTTGCAAACCTGCCGCATCACATTCGTCAGCTGGCCTGCCATCAGAGGCCATTTCTGCGACCTTGCTAGAGCTTGGTATGGCCGAAGCAGAATGTTGCCCTAGAGTTGTGCCGGAGCCAAGCTACGATCCTCGTCCTTGGTTTGAGGACCCAGAGTGGATCAGTGAACTGTGCGAATGCCTAGAGTTCAAAGAAGTTTTTCGATATTGTTTTGTGAAACCAGGCCACATCAACGTGAATGAGACCCGAACCTATAAATCATGGATTAAACACATGGCTAAGTCTGAGCGAGATAGCCGCTTTGTAGGCCTGCTCGATTCACGGGTGACCTTAGGAGCTAGTGCTAAGGGTAGGTCTAGTTCTTTTGCCATCAGTCGGGTTCTTCAGGGTTGCCTGGGGTACGTCATTGGGGGGAATTTGTATCCTGGTGGGTTACATTGTTATTCTGCCTTCAATAGAGCTGATCCTCCATCGAGGGGCCGCCCTGTTGAGCCCCCAAGCAAGGACACTCCTGCCTGGTTGGCAAAGTTAGCTGCAGGCGATCCCAGCCATTTCGATGTGGTTGTCAAGGCGTCCTGTGTGTCCAAAATCCCTGGTAGGTGGATGAGGTTTATCCTGTTGATTTTAGCTGGTGATATCGAAGAGAACCCGGGTCCGAAGAAAACTGGCCCACGGCCCAGAGGCCCCCTGGATCTAACAGTTGGTTTCGCGACTGCGACAGCCTGTCGTATGGCCCAGTGTGTCGACGCATTTGCTCGCTGGATTTCCGATTTTTGTGAAATGGAATTTGCTGCAGTGGCTCGTGATCCCGAAGCCATAGGTTGGGGTTTGAGATCCTATGGGATCCATCTTTTTGAGCGAGGCCTTCCACGATATCTCCTAGTGTATGCAATCACTGGCATGGCTGACCAGTACCCCATTTGCAAGCCTTTTCTTCACCTGGCGTGGCAGATAGATAGAAAGTGGCAAGTACACGAACCAGGCCAATGTCGAGCTGTGCTGCCTGGTGTAGCTGTTCGAGCGATGTTGGCCGTAGCTACTTTTTGGAATTGGCATCGCTGGGTGGGGGTTGTGTTGCTTGGTTTTGCTGCCATGTTACATCCTAGCGAGATGGTTGCCCTCACGCGAAAGGATTTAGTTTTCCCCTCCGATGTGGCTTACGATATTCCCTGTTTGTACATCCATTTGCAGAATCCGAAGACAGCGCGCTTTGCGCGGCGGCAGCATGGGCGAATCGACGATGTGCAGATCATAGCAGTGACTGAGTGCATTTTTGGCAAAGCCCCTCTTTCCTCTCGCTTGTTCCCTGGTTCTTTGACTTTGTTTCGAAAACAATGGGATGCAGTTCTGACTTTCCTGGGCGTGCCTCATCGGCAGGCTCAGCGTGGAGCTACGCCCAGCACGCTTCGAGGAAGTGGAGCCACATTTCTTTACAGTCGAACAGAAGATGTTCCATGGATTGCATGGAGGGGTCGTTGGGCCCGAGTCAGGACTTTAGAGTATTACTTGCAAGAGGTAAGTGCACAATTGTTACTGCATGAGCTGCCTAAGAGATCCAGGTTTCTGATTGAAGCTTTTGGCAATGCTGCGTGGGACGTCCTATGCACACAGTGGGAGCTTGACAGCTCCTAAGCTTGCAGCGCAGTAATGAAGAGTTGGAATGATGTGAGAAGAGCTTGTGAAACTTTGAGGTTGCTTAGATCTGTGCATATCCAGCTGGCATGATTGTTCAGCAGCCAAAAGCGTGGCATGAATGCCATTGCTGCTGTGTGCATAGAGGTGTGGGCAGCTTGGTGGAATGAGGCAAAAGGGATGCCTTTTTATCCCTTGATGACGGTTGCAACCACTTGCATCACAGCTTCTCGGGCCCAGCCCGCCCACTTCGTTTTCCCGGAATGATGTGAGAAGAGCTTGTGAAACTTTGAGGTTGCTTAGATCTGTGCATATCCAGCTGGCATGATTGTTCAGCAGCCAAAAGCGTGGCATGAATGCCATTGCTGCTGTGTGCATAGAGGTGTGGGCAGCTTGGTGGAATGAGGCAAAAGGGATATATATATATATTATATAGATCCATACCTATCCTCATATCCTCACTTGAAAAACATAGTGACATGGAACATAGTCAAATTTAGTTGTGGACCAAATATCCTCATATCCCATACCCTCTGCTAATCAAACATGGCAATCGGAAATCCCCATTGGTATACATGTTTTTCCGAGCCATAAACATCCATGTCTACCAGGTTTTCCAGCAAGCCACGTTTAATTATTGAAGGGTAAATAGGGATAAATCTCTGTTCTATTTCATAGCATTATTCATACCATATTAATTACACATATCATATCGACATAAATATATGTTGTTTGTGAATATGATAACAATAATATTTTTGTTGTGCCCATTCTCATATTAATAACACTATTATTCAATACGCACTATATTATCATGTTAATTATATGGTCATGAATGATAAATTTAGTTACCATTAAACATCCCAATTAGTCAATAGTTTTATTAAAACATAACAGGTATACATATTCCCATAGTATAGTATCCCATATTAATCCATATCATCATCCTATACTTAAATTTAATTATATAATACTGTCTTAATCCAGTTATTCTTATTAATTATAATCAAAAATAGTATCCCATATGTATCCCACAGTTATTCATATCCCATACCGGGTTCCCGGTATCAACATCGTTTTGCCGAAGACTGGGCTCCCCAGGTCTGGGCTCTGCTGGCGGAGGCCTTCACTGGTGAGCTGCTCCCCGCGCTGCGCCATTCCTGGGACCACCTGGAAGCGGTGCCGCGACACAAACATGGCGAGATCATGGGGATTTTGAAGCACCAAACATGTCACAATAACCATGAAATATAGCTTATGGGCTTATGAGAGGGGATTTTGAACTACCAAACATGTCAAAACTTAGCAATGGAACATATCAAACATGCTGGTAGAATGGGTATTTTCAACCACCAAAGCATGGGGAATTTCACCATGGCCATATCAAACATGGGATGTGTTATAAGGGAATTTTTATGGGAGGGTGATAGAATGGGGATCTTGAAACCCCAAACATATCAAAACATGGTGGTTTCAAGTATGAAATAGAGCTTATGAATGGGATTTAACCACCAACCATATCAAACATGGTGGTAGAATGGGGATGGAAAATATCAAGCATGGTGGTGGAATGGGGATTTAACCCTAAAATTGCATTTAATGGGGATATGATTTTTCAATATTTTTCATGGAATACGTGAACCATCAAACATTGATGATCTGCCGAAACCTGTCTAAGTGACATTCAGAAAACGGGACGCACAATCGTCATGGGGATGGTGAAGGGAAAACCAGCCGCAGATTTGCCATGGCCATATGAAGTTTTCAATTGACGGCTGCTTTTCCTAGCTTCTAGTTTGGTCAAGACCAGAACAGAAAAAACCGTGGTTAAAGATGGTTAAAGCATGAGTGGGCACGGGCCGAAAGTCCGCCACCCCCAAATAGGTTGGGGCACATTCTCCAAAAATCAACTCTGTTCATGTTTGATATCACCAAAGCAAAACAGCAGGGTGAAAGGAGCCCCTACGAAACGATAGACATGGTATTAGAGCATTGGGCTGGGGGCCACAGTTTTCGGTCACTTTGAATGGTAAATTACCCAAATTTTGATCCTTGAGGTGCCACTGATGCTTTTCGTGCCAAGCTCAGACATGACCTGCGGCAGGAATCCCAATGGGCTACACGCCTGGCAGATTTCACACCCATGCAGACAATAAGATTGCTTGCAGACCAGTGTAGCAATCCCCAAAAAGATAGAACAGTAAAGTCAAATCCTAGAAAAAAGTAGGAAGTAAGTTTTCTATCTTGTTTTTTCCTGGTGTATATATAATATATAATAATATTTTACTATTCCTTAAGAACTCTGCAGCTCCGAGGCGTCAGTCTTTGGTTATATCGCCCAGAGCGGGGTGCAGCTCGGCGGCAGCCAAGAAAGCGCCGTAGCATCAATGGCAAGGTGGAAGTGACCATCTTGGGGTAAACTCAGATGTGGAAAATGGATGAACATTGCCCATCTATAGATGATGACCCTCTGGTAAACATACAAAAAGCTACTGAAAATGGCCATTTATAGTGGATTTACCCATTAAAAAATGGTGATTTTCCATAGTTATGTTGGTTTACCAGAGGGTACCTATAAAACATGGTGATTTGAAGCCAGAGCTGTGTTAGTTTACAGGAGGGTCGATGTCATGATGGAAATGATTTCAGCACACGATGCTTAGACTTGGCATTGGTGATATGTATATATATATGTATATATCTGGGTAAATTATAACGACCTCACTGCGACCTCACTGGAATCATGGTTAGTAAGGGAAATCATCCCCTTTTATGGCCTTAATTCAGGTTAGTGAATTATTATAGTTTACCCATATATATATATACATATAATACATATTTGTTGGGGAGGTTTGATTCGGACTTCTCATCCAGCTGGAAATAGTTGGAGCGCAGGTATCCACTGGCTTTTTGTGGGTTAAGATTCGGCCTCACTACAGCCAACCATTCTTCCGGGGGGGTTGTTGGCCTGGGGTTGAGTTGAATCCACATGATGTCTACAAGATCTCTTCAACTCTTCACTGAAAAATCTGCCAGGGCTGCTCCCAAGGTTGCTTCTCATCAAACACTTTGGCGCCACGGCTGCCGAGATTGTGAAGAGTTGTCGCCCTTTGGCTCGAATGATGGCAAGGAGATTAAAGACGGTCCCCAGAGGTGGAATCTCCAATGGGACAATGAGGGGTAACAAACTGGATTTTGGATGATTTTGGGGGATCTACCACAATTTGGGGTAACACACCCATATTTCCCAACTTTGACGGGATTCAAACACACCATTTCATTGGTTGTTTCCCAGTGGGGGTTGATTTGCAGCTTCAAAGGGCTTCGAAGATCCGGGGATGTCTTAGATCACCTGTTTTCCAAAACTGGTCCAAAAAAGTAGCCCGATCCCATCATATCCCCCAGAGGGATGGTGATTCACCGTGATCGCTGAGGAAAAGTGACGACGATTCTGATCTCTTTCATGGTCTATGGAAAACCTTGGAACGGTTGCATGTCGGGAGAGGGGTGGCGTTTTTCCGGGGACTTTGATGGGAGTCTGTGCCACTGACTTGGTTAGGTTGAGTTGATGGGATCACGGGACTAGTTTCAGACTTGCTGCGGGGTCCTAAACAATGAAACACTGTTTCAGCTGGCATAGAGTTAAGAAAGAGATCATTGGAGCTGTATATAGAAAATATAGATGTATAGTTTAGTGAGGTTAGTGACAGAGATCCTTATATTTTCTTATTTCGGGAGGGCACAACACAAATTTTGGTTGTTAAGCAATTTGTGGTTCATCAAAGATCATGTGACATGTGTATGCGGACATGTGAAGAACCCTGGTTGATAAAGCAGCAGGATTTTCGAAGCATCCACATAGAGTTGTTGCACCAACCCCGGTTCAGCAACTACGCGCTGTACAGCAACTAACCACGGTTCAATTACTACGGTTCAGAAAGTAACTCCCCCGGTTCAAAAGCTACGGCTCAGCAACTTTGGTTCAGCAACTATGGTTCAGGCTGCGTTTAGGTTGTATTTACGGTTGGTTTGGGTTTATTTAGGGTATATTTAGGCTTGGTCTAGGGTTTATTTAGGGTTTATTTATGTATATATGGTTTATTAAGGATTGTCAAACTAGACGGTTTTCGTTGCCGGAACATAGTTGTCAACTGTAGTGGTAGTAGTAGTAGTAGTAGTTGTTGTTGTTGTTGTTGTTGTTGAACCAACCGTTTTTAGTAGTCGAATCATAATTGTTGAACCAGATGTCTTAGGTGTCGAATGAGACGTTTAAGTTGTCGAACCAGCAGTCGACCGGTCAGGCCTCAGTCTTGCAATGTAGTCCTGGTTTGATGGGTAAAATCATTGGTAGATTCTTCTTTTTGCTGGAATCCGTATCCTCAATCTTTTGGGCCCCCAAGCCCCCAAGGCTCGAAAGCACCCATTTCTTGGTTCCACCTTCGATACTTCGATGTTTTGGTGAAAAATGGGTGAAACATCTTGATTCTTGGGTGGTCAGTTTCCGCATTCTCATTTCCGAAATCCCCAAATCATCGGTATCCGATGGGATCCATGGGTCGTTTATAGCACCAGGCTATCATGTGGCTGGCACTTTGCTCTTTGTGAATTCCGTGGCGGTGGAAAGGTTCAACTCAGGGGCCTCCAAGCAACTCGTTTCTCAAAATGGGGGGCAGATGTGGCTATGGAAACCCCCATCAGTTGGAATGGCAATAGAGGCTACGGTTTCCAGATGTTTCCAGTAGAATATCCTGGATCGCTCAAGCCAACATCATCGGATCGTTGAATCTGGGTCAAATCCCAATGGACCTTGTGGTAAAAACAGATCTGCACTGGACCAACAATCCGCAGTTCTTGCACCCATCGATTTGCCGGTTACACGACATGTCAGTGAACTTACCCATCTTTACAAAAAAACAGCTGCTGATAATCGCTGAGAATTGTGATCTCCAAAATTCCTATGGAACACATCCTATCAACTCCTTTCATCCTTCTCTACCTGGTGATTTCCTGGTGATTTTCCAACTGCCCAACGAGGCGCTTTGCCACGTTGCTGTTCAGCATGGCAGGGCTGGTGGCTTTGCGCTTGGTTTTTGGTGGAGTTGGGCCTTCAACCTTTAGTGCCTTGATCGCTGAATTTCATGTGGACAATTGGGAATTTCATGATGGGATAATTCCAGTTTTGATACCTCGAGATGATGATAGCGCGTTAGGAATTGCAGGGGCAATTTCCACGGTCTCCCGCCATATCTGGGTTTTACAATCGTGACTTTGGGCACGACGTGATTTGACTTAACCAAACCCATTGCGAATTGGGGGTGAGTGTTTGGATATCCTCTTCCCATGTTGAACTGCTAAATTCATCTGTAATTTCTGGATTTTCATGGATTTTCGAGGACGCTACGCTAGATTACTAGGGGGTAAGCAACAATGGATGGTTCATTTACGGAGAGTTCAGAGATAGGTCAATATCTACAGGATCATCTGAGTGGGATGAACACCGAGGTGTGGTCATAGACGCTGGGAGTGCAGGAACCAGAGCGGCTTGGCTATGGAGGGTACTATATCGCCAATACAACCAGTTCCAAATTAGCGCGGGCATGTGCGGGCACAACACCACCGGAGCTGAACATAGTTGGTATATCATTTGAAGTGGGTTTCCATAGCCATTGTGTAGTTCCGCGGTGAACTCCAGGCAGTTCGGAATGCTTGCAAGCCAGGGTGACAATGGACCATAAGCCATGATGATGTGTGGTTGTTGCAATATTTGCAGTTCGTGTGTGTAGTACATCCCCAGTTCAAAACTTGGGAGTTTGCAACTATACATGGCCAGCCTGGCCAGCATTTGCTCAACGAGTTATAGGAATGTCCACGAGTTTCCCTACCCTCTGGTAATGACTAACATAGCTATGGAAAATCACCATGCTATTAATGGGAAAGTCCACTATTTCTATGGTCATTTTCAATAGCTAATGGCATTCTCTCCAGAAAATGACCATTTATAGTGGATTTTCCCATTAAAAATGTTAAATTACCCTCCATTTTCTATAGAATCCACTATTAATGTTAAATTACCAGAGGATATACCCCATTAAATCCCATTAAATCCCATTAAATCCCATTAAATCCCATTAAACCACCATTTTCCTATGGTTTTCAATAGCTATGTTAAATTACCAGAGGCTAATTCTCTCCAGAATGCCACGAGGTGAACGTTTTCCGCTTTGATGCCTGGAACCTGAAGCTCCTGGACATCAACGGTGCAGCTCAGGTGCGCGGTGGAAACTGTGGGCCGGCGAAGTTCCATATATAATCATATGTATATATATATACATATATACATAATTATATATATATATGTGTATATATATATATATAATGTGTATATATATATATTTATATATATATATATATAATGTGTATATATATATATAATACATTTAGTACTGTAATACTCGAGTGTACTGAGTAACACTATATATATATATATAATGTCCGAGTAACATGTCCGTATAGTACTGTAATACTCGAACAGATCAAGAACAGCTGAACAATTTGGCCCACTGACAAAAAATAAATGGCCGGACTTTGACGAACTTCGGCAACTCTTTTTTTTCTGGGTTGCTGTTTTGACATCCGCAAAGCACTGACCATTATATCTGTCCACAAACCAGAAACCACCAGTTTTTTTTTAATTGCATGGATGTTTGTGGATCTGACTTTTTTGCATGATGTTTGTGGATAAGCTGGTGTGATGATGCCATGATGCCATGTAAACCCAACATCCTTTTTTTCAATGGCATGGTATTTTTCGCATGGATCTGATCCATTTTTTTGGCATGGTTTATTTCAGATGCCAATGTTCTGATAATTTTTGGCCGTCAATTGGGAAAATTCGGGACGGTTTCTGGTTGAGGTCTTTGTAGAAGAAGAGCCAGGAGTGGGCGACTTGAACTCAAGCAGCTCGTCGCTCTTTGTGGTGTGGGTTTGACATTGGGCTTGGGGTGCCGAATTCCTGGTGCTATGTGTGTTGACCAAATGGAGGCCTGAACAACCTATTGCCCAACAAGAAAGACATGATGATTATAGTCTTTCTTGTTCCACACAGACCAATTTCCGAATCGCTGAATCCCAAACGTTTTGCGTTTGTAGCTTTGATCCCCATGGTTTTTGGTGCTTCAGTCTTTTTCCGTTGGCAAACCCACAGTTCTTGGTCCTTCAACCTACATTTTTTGCTCAAATCCTTAATTTGGAACTTGCCACCCAAGACTTTTAGGCGGTTACACCATTGTTGGTCATTTTGCACCATTTTGAATCGTGCTTCAACGGTCATTGTTGGTATTTCACCTCCGTTTGAGACCGTCCCTCTGCGAAGAATCGCTGTATTTTTTGAAGTATTCAGCCATGGGAGAATGTCGAGATCAGATGAAGCCCATATACTACCCACAGAACCCCACATGTGACTACATAATAATCATAATACAACGTAGAAAGCATGTCCAAATCGTTTTTTTCTGGTTGATTGATCTTGATTTCCATGGCTTTTTCCATGGTTTTTTCCATGGTTTTTCCATGGTTTTTCGCCAACGAACGGCCCCAGGTGCTTTGGCCCTTCAGCTCTCGCGTTTGTTGGGCGTCGCGATGGCCACAGTGCCCATGGGCCAGCGGCAGGTGACGCCGCTGGCGCTGCGCGCCACGCGGGCCTTGGAGGATCTCAACAATCAACAGGTGGGCCTCGGGGAGATGGCGAATGAGGGACCGGCTACGGCCCTTAAAAATGGCTGGTTTAATGGTGGTTTAATGCTGATTTAATGTGGATTTCATGGTTTAATGCTGGTTAAATGGTGGTTTAATGGTGGTTGAAGCTGATTTTAGAGGCTTTTAACGATGAAATCTATGATGGTTTAATGATGTTTTTAAGGGGGCTTTACCCTCTGGTAATTTAATATAGCTATGGAAAATGCTCGAAGAAAATGGAGGTGTATAGCTGGGAAAATCATTTGGAAAAATGATATGGAATGATGGCCACACTTTTTTAACCATTGGGGTACCCAAAAATTGAAAAATATAAATACAAACTGTTTGTTCTTATCAATACTAGTCCCTTCCCCCATAACCCCCAGAAACCAGGCTTTAGCAGGGGATGAAACCTCCTTTTGAAAAAACCTTTTAGGGGATGTTTAATACCAGTGGGACGGGATTAATGGTGGTTTCATCACATGTTTTTCACATGTTTTCCTTGATGGCTTGGGCTGAAGCCAGAGGATAGCCCCAACAAATGGATGCTGCTGCGATGTTTGGAGGATCATCAAATCATTATCCCAAGGAAAAAAACACATTTTCAGAGACACTCAAAGATGGTGAAAGAAAAATTGGGATCAAGTTACCTGTGGATATTTTCATGGGGCTTTTCATGGTGATTTTTCTGAGCATTTAATTGATTTAACGATGAACGATTGAGGATATGATGGCATGTATTTTTTTTAATGAAATTAGAGACTTCTCGAAACGAGTTTTTTTTTTGGATGGTTTAAAACCTATGATTCCATATTTGTGGTGAATGAACCATGGCATTTACCAGCTATTTTGAATATCAGGGTAGCAGGATTTTGACCGGGCCGGCAGCTTCGAGCTGGGTTTTTAGCCAATTCTCAGAACATCAGACCAGCATAACATCTTTTAGGATCTTAATCATGGTCACAGCTATGCATGCTAGTGTATGTCTTCTATACATATACATATATATATGATATATATACATATCTTTATGACCATACATGTCACTTTATCTCAACTCTCGAAAGGTCGAAAGGTCAGGATATGCCCTGAAGCAACTAGTGGATGACTTGTGGGGTTTTGGGTGCTCGGTAAGTCGATCAAGCCAATGCCATAAACCATCCCCAATAGAGCTTGATTCTTGGGTATAGCATTATTTTTTGGATGATGTAAAATGACCACCATAAATGGTTGGTGAATGATGTTAATGGGTTGGCGAATTGGATCTGGTTGGTGAAATACCACATTCTACTGTATATTCACTGAGAGAATTGGATCATTGGATCTGCATCCCCAAATAGCTCTGTGACCATCCTGGGTGGGAGGACGAAGATCCAACCCTACAACTATTTTGTGAACTGAGGCATATCCAAATGGGGAATTTTTCAGAATCAGAGACGGCCAGGAATGGGAATTTCACCGCACAAACTAGAGACTTCAACCGGCCAAGTTGGTTGGATTTTAATCGCCTTTTCAGGAGATTTAATACCACCACACCAGAGATACCGTAGCATTCAATTTGGGATAACCAAATGATTCAAAATGCCTTAGCATATCAGGTGGACGACCTGTTGGACCAGATGAAGAGCCACATTGCAGCAGCCGGCTTCAAGGCCTTGGGCCTGACGTAGTGGCTACCCTCGGGCCGTCTTTCGGATGGGGGACAGGGCTTTCTCCAATCTGTTTGTGAAATGCATGGACACTGCCAGGTGTTTTTTTGGAAGCAACAGAAGTGTCGGAGGTTTTGCTACTGTTATTTTATCACTATATCATACTATATCATACTATATCTATCACTACCAGTATTAATTATTGATTATTATCTTCAAAACATAGAAGATCCATCATGTTTGCTAGTTTCCCTTCAATCGTGTCATGTGGAAGGTTCGATTTCACAAACAGCCAGGACGCTGGCATACAGCCGATGGGTGGCAGCGAAGAAGCCATTGCAGAAACTCGGCGGATCGAAAAAGGCCATCAGATTGGCTACTTCCTTGACACTTTTAGGGGGATAAAGATGGAGGAGATATGAGGAGATACCCTCTGGTAATCAAACGTGGCAGGCTGGAAAATCCCCGAACTAAATGGAGGTCAAAATTCGGAATATTCATCAAGAAATGGGGGATTTTCGCCATGTTTGATTACTGGAGGGTATCATATCTTCTTTTCCAACAATTTTGGGGGTTGAAGCCAGCAAGGAATGAGGACATGGTCGACAATCGTCATTTGCGGTGTTGGTGCAAGAACGGTCTCAGGGTGTGGGGTTGGGGTGATGACTTATTCAACGCAGACTGTCAAAGTGGCATGGAGTTAATCATGGCGATGAGAAACGAGTTTCCTTCACTCGGGCCGTATGGCATTTTCTAATACTGCTTCTGGAGGATTTGTTTAGGATGCTTCCGGCTGCAGAGGATAACTCGCAGGTTTGCCTAAAGATTGTAGGGAATTTCCGCCAATTCCATGGTTTATCATCATCTTCCCAATTTTCAATGTTAAACAATAATACATCATAAAAGAACATTAGGAAATTGTAATTGGATTTTCAATGTTAAACCATGGAATACTGTAATTACCCTCTGGTAAACTAACTAACATTGCTATGGAAAATCACAATTTTTAATGGGAAAACTCACTATGTAATTGGATTTTCAATGTTAAACCATGGAATACTGTAATTACCCTCTGGTAAACTAACTAACATAACTATGGAAAATCACCATTTTTAATGGGAAAACTCACTATAAATGGGCAATTTTCCATAGCTATGTTTGTTTACCAGAGGGTACTAATGTAATTTTATTCATAAAATCACCAACTGGCCATCCCTTCTGGAGAACCAGCTGGTTTAGATCTAAGGAGTGGACCTCGGTGAACATGCTCATGGGATGCTTTCAACCAGGGCTGCGTGGCGTGCCTTGGTGGTCAAGTCAAGTCATGGGGGTTTCGTGTGGATCTCCAAGTCACCAGGGGTTTCAATACGAATTTTGATGATTTTTGGACCATTTTCAATGGATTGGTTTAAGGGAACATCGAAACCGGAAACCATCGATTTTGGCATTTATGGGGGTTTCCTGTAAATGTTCCCTTAAACCAATCCATTGATAATAAAAATGGGGTATCCCCATTTTACCAAACCTGCATATGAGGAACGATGCTACCGGGAAATCTATCAGCCCAGCTAGTTGAATGAGATAGGATAGGGGTTAATGGCTAATGGCTCAGATGATTTTAGGTAATATGGATATGAAATGAAATGCACTGATATGATATATGATAGATGTGATTCATGATCTATGACCTGTGATTCAGTGATATTGGATATAGTATATGAAATCTTTTTGAACTTATATTAACATATAATATCATATAATATGATATCATATCTTATCTTATAATATGATATGCTATGATATGATATGACAATCGTTTATATTACTATTTATATTTATATCATATGTTAAATATAGATATGTTTATATAATATACTGTCATATCATATTATATCATATTATGTAATATTATATCATGTTATATCATATTATATTATATCGTACCATAGCATATTATTTATATTATTTATTTATATTTATACTTCTTTGTTATATTCATATTATATTTATATTCTATTTATTTTATATTTATAGTATATCTACGTTATGTTTATGTTATATTTATATGATATCTATATTTATATTATATTAATATTACATGTATTATATATATGATACTATGTTATATTACATTACACTATAGTATATCATATCATACCATATTATATTAATATCATGTTGTATTATATTGTAGTATATAATACAATATTATTAGAATTATGTTATATTATATTATACTATATTACATTATGTATTATTGTAGCATATATTGCAATATAATATATTAGAATATCATATGATATGACATGATATTATTGTGTTATATAATGTTATATTTTTTTTTTTATATTTATAATCAAATGTTATATATACATATGTTTATATCATATCATATCATATCAGATTATATCATATCACATTATAGTATAGCATAGTATATTATATTAGGTTTTATACTATATGATATATTGTAATATATATATATATATGCCGGACATATTTTGACAGATCTAACGAGAATTGGCTGTCTCTGGTTCAACCAGCGAGATGTGCCGAGGTTCACTCCCCTGTGGCCATTGTGGATTTGGGTGGTGCCACAGTGCAGCAACTTGGATGACCTCGGTAGGGCCTTGACAAAGTGTCACTTTTCCACCATGATTTGTGGCTGGGCTGGGAAATCACCACCAAAAATATGGACATTTCATTGGGAAAGCATCGAAGTAAATGGGGCGATTTTCATTGCCATGTTTGATTCCCAGAGGCGATTTCCCAGTATATTTCCAATATGGTTGGTTAAAAAAACGCCATTCTGGCTGGTTTTTTAATCCCATCAGAAATGACTCCCAATTCTGTCTGAAAGAGTAGTCTGGCTGCTTCAATTTTCTTTTCCGGGGGCTGCTTCAGCTTGTGTTGGCACCAATTTCCAATCACAATTCAGTAATCTCTTTGCAGTTGGGAGGTCACAGCATGAGCTGGACAAGCTTTGGGATTTCCAGGGAGAGCTGACCATAAGTCATCCAATTCCCACGGCAGCATTTTCCATTTCGAGCCTCCCAGGATAGCCTACTACCTCCATGATCGTCAGGCCAGCGAGGCGAAAAGGCCCGAGCCACTCCAGAAATGGGGAGATTTGATGATTTTTTTCATGGGAAAACTATGGAAACATCTCATGATCATGTGATAAACTTTCTTTTTTGGTTGAAAACTATGGAAACCCATTTTTTTTTGTATTACTGTATGATTTGTGATGTTTTTTCTGTATGATTTGTGGAAAGCTATGGACAAGTCCAGTTTTGGGTTGCAAGCCCTTAGTTTGAGGGATCGACCGGAACCTCTTGTGAAGATGCGGCTGGTCGGTACATTTTGGGTTGAAACCACCAAGCAGGTCGTAAAACCAGGGCAGATACCAGGGCACTGTTGGGACATCTGCCTGGGCCAGGAAGCATTTGGATGGCTACATCAGTCGCATCAAACTGCCGTTTGGAAGCTGGGCGCCCTGTTTCAGGATTTTGGAGGTACCTGGGCCTGGGCCTGTCTGAAAATGATGGGACACCCGGAAAAGCCGCAACGGCTTGACGGGTTTATCATGGTTGATCATCATTTTCTCTATCATTTGATAGCTAGTGGGTGGCTAGGGACCCCATTTTCATAGATGATTATCCATCTGAATCTGGGGGGGACGTTTCTTCCATGTGGTCGCGTTTCTGAGGCGGACCCGTGCATATTTACAGGCCTGGGGTGTTGGTCGAAGATCGACATGGAGAGCAGATTCATAAAGTTTGTTCGGATTTACATATATCAGAAAGTACAGTAGAAGAACACTATAGAAGGATAGATCAGTCTCTATATATATATATATATATCTCTCTCTATATGATTATGTATATGTATACAGATACACATATATATATAATTATATATATATAGATCGTATATATATATATAGAGATCATATATATATATATCATGATATATCCATCCACTCCATCCACCTGCAAAGGTCCAAGGTCCCTAAGGATTTCGCCGATCCCATAGTTTCTATAGTTGTTTATACCAATGTAGTGACACTACTAGAGCAACACTAAAAAAACAATATATATATATATACATACACTATATATATATATGTATGTATACATGTAGTCAATGGTTGGTTACAAGTTTATAATGATTCTTTCATCAAGCTCTCTATCATCCTGAAATGAGGCACAGCTACGGTGGGTATGGCCTTTATTCAGTGGTGTGCCAAGCGTTGGATGGTTATTGGTTGATGGTTGAGCGGAGTGTTCAAGAGTGTTCAAGTGGGCGGCATAGGGGTTCCTAATATAGTGTACACATATATATATATATATATGTATGTATATAGTATTAATATAATATATATATATATAAAGAGTACTCTGGAATCCCCATCAACTTCAACAACATTGGTTTTCACTTAGATGACACCAGCGAGAAAGTTGCGAGGGGGATCAACAAAAATACATAGGGATCAAAAAACAAATAGGGATCATGAAGGCATTTGTAGCTCCTCCTCCTACAACAACAACGACGACAACGATTATTACTACTACTGCTACTAATTGATTCTATCTCCTTGGCCATATCGTTTTGTTTGCGACTCATACAGTTTATGTTTTTGATCTGTATGTTTTTTTGATCCGTTGCTTTTGTTATTTGATCCTTATTTTTTTTAATCCCCGAGCCGAGAAAACTGGGTATGGCTTTTGAACAGCGGGGGTTTGACTCAAGGCTAAAGTCCGGAGCTACAAAGAAATCGAGCAGGTTGGGTCATTGGGTTTGCCTCAAAAGACGGACCTAGCCATGGGGGGAAAATCCGGGATGATGATCTCAAGATATCTCAAGAGGACTTGGGGGTTCCAAAGGAGACCATTGGGAGCATCCATGGCTGGTTTTGATGGGGGGAATCTATTCAGCCCGGGATCACATAAGACCGGCCAAGTAATGACTGTGGGGATCAACTCAGCGTGTTTGTAGGTTATGAGTTTTCTTGCAATGGGGAAATTCAACATCACAAATGTTTGGTCATCTATCAGGCAACCAATGGTGAACAGGGGTACTCCAATTTTTGGGGAACCACCCAAATGAAAAATCCAACTGTACCTCTTGGACCAGTTCGGTGTGTTGCTTTTGGCAGGCAGGCTTTGGGCTGAAGAGGCATCCCTGTGCGGAAACTGAGTCATCCAGGAAACATATGGGATATGATATATGGATATATATATATATATATATGGGATATAACAATGGATTATATGGGATATATCATATATCCATTATATTCTATTTGGATATGTATTGGGAAGGGATATAACATATTTGAATACCAAAGAAATGCAGTTTTCCTCCAAAATCGACCATTGTTTGATATTATTAGGATTTCGACTCGAAAAACATCGAGAACAAATCATTTCGTTTTCCCGCAAACCACATAGTTGAGCTATATCTTCTAATATGGGTAAAACAATGTCATAGACCATCCCCCAGTCATCACCATTTTTATGGGTGGTATGGTTACCATTCCCAGGAAAATGGGTTGTTTATTATTCTTATTTTTCCATGTTTTTTCCCACATTAAGGATGATTCACTGCAAAACCAGGGTTTTTCCACTGCAAATCTTCCCATCAGATCATCCCTGCCGAGGTTTGCCCAGTGGCATCAGTGCGAGCCTTCGTGTGCAGCGGAGGGCCGTCGTGGCCGAGGGCGCTCCTGGGTCCGATGATTTTTGAGTTCCCGATGTGGTTTGGTCTTAAACACATAATGAGAAGCAAGTGGATTTCAAATGCGCCCCCTTTTTTGGAACAAACCCATGTGGCAAACGCTAGGTTTTGAGATTTATCGTATCGGGTTTAGCACATTTTAGCAAATAGAAATGGGGATTGGATATGATGTTGGTGGCAAAAGACTGGCCACATGTGGGGATGTGATACTAAGGTGTTGTAACTAGTAGTAAAGTCTGAAGAGAGACTGAGAAGGATATAAACGAACAATTCTTCAGTGCTTGAACCTGAGGGACCAATGAAAACTGTCCAGGGATGGAACCAGCTTAGACCAGACACTGGGATGTTTGCTTGTTTCCCCCAAGATGTGGGGATACAAAGCAAACTTGTCTACTTTAGGGACTAAACCGACCTGAAAGCTTCACCTAGTTTCTTGGGCAAAATGTATAGCCTCACATGGCATTTGTGGATTGACTCTACATTGAACGAAGGTACAGGACTCCCAGAGTACCCATCCAGACAGTCCAGTTCGCACCACAACTGAGGCCATGAACCGATTTTCCTGCGCAACGTTGATTGTGAGTTGTGCCCAGTGGATGGGAGACCGCAGTTTCGGACACAGAGAGAGTGTTTTTTGTGGATCCAGACTTTCGGGCAGTTAGAACTGCTGGATTCCACCAGCTGTCTGATGAAAGGACTACATCCTGCACAAAGAGCTCCCTTGCATGAAGGAGTGAAAGGGACACAAGGGGGAGTGGTTCATGCACAGCTTGATGTTCCATTTTCCCCATTCACTCGGAATGAATGAGATAAAAAGTTGGCTGTAGGTCGGTGGTGGTCTCGATCTCACCTTGGGCTTTGATTTTCTGTGACTTTCCCGCTTCACATTTGGGTCTGAACATGGGGTACAATTCCACGTGGTTATTTTGAGAGGAAAACTCATGATAAATCATGGGGTTTTGGGGGGTCGCATTTTCAGACACATCAACCGGTTAGCTGCCCTGACAGGATGGACAAGCTGCAGGCGAGGTATCTGAGATGGGAATGTCTGGTGAATGGAGAGATTCGGAGCAAGGGGAATCCATATTCCATATGGGTGTGTCTGAAAATAGTGTACCCCTAAACCCACTGGTTAATGATCATTATCCCTATTAAATGGCTATAATTGGGAATATACCCTATTTTCAGACAAACCCATATAGTCCCTATGGCATTGATAAAAAATGGGGAGCCAAGATTCGACCAAGAGTTTCCCAACCACATGATAGCAATGATAGCTGAAACATACAAACATATCAAACATACTTTAGGTTCTTCGCTTTTTTTTTTGGCCAGGTTGTTATTCCGAAGAACACATGCCTTTGTCACATCAGGTCCGCCTAAGATGGGCAACTGCAGCTTTGTGTGGGCACCTAGGGACGCCGCATGGGGGCCATGTGTCGTACAAACCTTCCAAAATGGAAGGTTCATTACTTAGATGGGCCATGGAATTAGTTTAACTAGTTGGTACATGGATAATAATTGGGAGATAGATGGACATAGTGGTTTATGTCGGTGGTTGGGCTTACCATATTACTGCGCAAGCTTACCCGCGTTGGAACTCGACATTTTTGCGAGGCTGGAGCATGGATGGGCCCTGGCCCAGGCGGGGTGAACCCTGCGATGACGGCCTTCAGATATGCGCAGTTTTAAGCACATTGTTTGTTTGACTAGGAAGCGGATAGGCTATGTTTCAGCTTACTGTATATAATGGGAATCAGGTCAGTAGGCACTCTTTCCAAGACTATCCGGAGGAAAGCTGCGGCACAAGGTCCTCAGAAGGTTGTCCTGGCATCGTACTTCTACGATCGGATGCCAGAGGCTGAGAGTGGCCCTGCAAGGTCCCGAGGTTTCTGATGTTCAAACTTTTTCAAACATGTTCAAGTCAGTTACAAACCACTTACTGATTGTTGGTATATACATGTTTTTCAGTTCCATACTTTTTCCATGGATTTTTTTTGTCTTGATGTTAAAACCAGTAACCTGCGGCTGGTTTGAAGTCTCATGAATCCTGGGAATCTGTAGCGGGTGCACACTGGTAGCAGATATGGGCTCTCAACCAAATGGGGTTTCCACAGCCCCACCAATCAAACAGCACAGCAAATGAAGCGAGCGCAAGGCTCAGCAAATGTTTTCCATGCACAGCGGGTGTGCGTACAATCGCACCATCAAGTGCTCAAAGGGGCCCCTACAGACCCGTATGGTCATATGAGCCAAGCATCACGGAGTCATCCAAGTTTCAGATTGGCAATGCTGATTGGCAAAGGAAGGTACCTGGCAGGTCAGGAGCTGGACATGTTGCACCAGCACAAAAGAAGGTTGAGCAATACTTCGATTGCTCATAGATCACATCCTGCCAGGTTTCAAAACTATCACTCTCACTGACGCTCTCAGTTGAAATCAGCAGCTGCTCAATCAAAGCGGCATTGACTGTGTCATCATTCTGCAAGGCTCGCGCAAAGAGACCATGCAAAGCGTCATCAACTTTCTTTACAGCAGTCAGTCCGGCACGCTTGTTCTTTTTGGCAGCAGTGAAAGAAGGATCAAAAGCAATACTCCAATGCCAATGACGCAAAAACTTCATCAAGCCATCTCGGCTGTCGTTGCGCTTCTTGGTCATTGAGTCTGCTAAATCATAGTCAGATGCCAGCCAGCGAAGTTCACTTCCAACTCGCTGCAAGTTGTCTCGAAGCTGAAATGCTTGAAGGGCAGCTCGGAGATTTGAAAGACCAAGGAGAGGGGATTCGTTCACCTCCACCGCATCATATCCACCACGGCTATCCGTGCAAATGATGCCCTTGATACATCTCACCTGGTTTTCGGTGGCTTCAACCAAGTCATCACGCTGTCCATGACGTCCATAACAAGCGCCATGCATTTCAGTCCACAGAAGTCGGACCCGGTAATTCTGGTCCTCACCTTCCAAAACAGCTTGCACCTCTGCGTCGTTGGAGGCAATGGCCTTTCGCTTCAGTTTCCAGCTTCGCCAGGTCAGGAGCATCATGGGACACACACACCCTGAGACAGCTTCAGGTCCAGCAGCAAGTGTAACAAGTCCACCAGTGCTATCGCCTTTTGGGCGATTGTTGTGGGCTTGATCTCCCATAGTGATGAAAACCATTTGATTCCATCGCTCCACAGTTGGCAGCTTGAAAAACTCAAGGTGTTGAGGTTCACGGCGCACTTCGCCAATCATTTGTTGGATCTCCCTCGCATGTTCCAGTGTGCCTGCTGTTACAATCTCAGTCAAAAGAATGTTGCACCTGGAGCAGAGTTGAGGTTGAGATTGGATGGCTAGCCATTGAAGTCCACCAAGAGAGGTACGACAGGCAGCCACCTCAGAAGGGGTCAAAGGACCATTGCTGCGAAGACGAACTGGATCAATGTTGACATCCGGCAGTGATTCAACATAGGCATCTTGATCGATGCGCAGCTTGAAGCCATTCTTGGTCTCAATGGTGTTGATGTCACTTCCAGCATGACGATAGCTGTCGCGTTTCATAGTTCCCCACTTGTAGGAGGCATCTATCTTCTGGCAAATCTGTTGCCACTCCAAGGATGTGTCATCACCGATCCTGTGGAAGTCGTCCACATGACCACCCATGGCTCCTATGAGCCGAGGAAACTTGCCCGTGATGTCTTTCTCGTGCTTGCTGAACCAAAGCCATAGGCAACGTTCGCCAAGTGCAGCACGGCCATCCAAGGAGGTTAAGGTACGATGCAGATCAAGCCAGAGACCCCTTGGGGCCGTTGTTGACCCGTAGATGTTGCGAAGAATACGCAAGACAGAGTCTCGTGGGATCTGGAGTGCATCGTGAAGTTCCTGGACACCTGTTGTCCATATCTTGCTGTCGGCCTCAGTAGGCATTGTCTGCAAGAATGCCGTCGCTAAGTCCAGGCCATGTAGTCGCCACTGGTGCGTCGCGGCGAGTAGATAGAGCATATTTCTGCCCAAGGAACTCTGCACCGGAGCTGATGTTTTGAACCCCTTGTCAAGAAGAGAGGGGTGCTGGTAGCCCAGGAGGACAATGCGCGCCTTCGCCTTCTTCGTGGCTGTGGCGTTGACGACGCTGTCAGGATTCTTGTCCCTGTCTTCCTCAGCGGCGGTCTTTTCATCTGGAGCAACAGCCTTCCAGGTCAGTACCCATCGGGCTTTCAATATTCTGCCCGTGGAGTAGGCCTCCTTCACCTCGCTGCTGTTGAGGCAGCGACGTACTGCTTGGTTCTGTATAAAACTGTGAACTTCTTTCTGCTTTGCCCTTCTGAAGAGTTCAAGGTCTGCAGGGCCCAGACGCTGAAGATTGACTTCTGAGCTGTTGAGTTTGCGGACCAGATACGCCACTGGATTCCTTTCAAAAACTTTCTGTTGCCTATGCGACTGAAAGTCCAAGTCGATGTTGAAGACCAGGCATTCATCATTCTGCTGAAGCGCGGCCATAAAGTCCAAGGCCTTGGATTCCATGTCAGCTTCAGCAGCAAGTTGTTCCACCCATTTGAGGTCGTAGGAGCCTCGTGATTTCTTGGAGTCAGGTGGATCTGAAGGCCCATCATCCAACATAGGACCATAGTCATTCACTGCCTCATCATCAGTGTTGGCCGTGGCACCAATCGGTGTGCCAGGGTCATAGCCAGGTGATGCTGGGGCTGATTGCTCAGCATCTGCAGGTGGAAGAACAGGAGAAGAGGCAGCAGCTTTTGATTGTTGCGGAGCAGGCACATAAGAGAAAGCTCTGGTGTCTCGAAGTCCATCGCCGACACCCAGTGGAGAGCTTCGTGGAATTCGGCGCCAATCCATTGGTCCGTAAGTTGATTTCCGCCATGCTCGCGTCACAGGAACCAGTGTGGTTTGATCTGGCCGTAGAGGAAGATCTGGACATTCAACTTCATCAGGACCTGGTTCATCATCAGCCAAATCCTCAAACTCACGCTTGGGGATGATGTCGGCCAATGTCTTCCATTTCGATGGATCTTCTCCGCTGGTCAGGTCATACTCCATACGCTCAGTTGGTGTGCAAGGTCGGATGGAATGGACCGAACACCGCATGACCCGCTTGCCAATGAGCACCCAGCAGATATGGCGTCGAGCATCATCAGGAGATTGATGGGGCAGGACCTCTTGGAAAATGATACGGCCTGGCCCAATCCAGTGTGGTCGCCCAGACTTTTTCAACCCTCCACGCTTGCCAAGATGTTGATCAGCTGGTTGGTATCGTCGCCAAACCTTGACCAAGTCCATAGGTTCAAAGGTTCTAAGAGGCTGGCGCACTGTAGTGTTGCTGAGCTTGGAGAGGACTCTTCGAGCTCGAGTGCGGACTGCTACTTCTTCAGCTTTTTGTCGAGCTTGAACCAACCGTTGAAAGTCCATGGTGGTATCAAGCTGGCTGAAAGTCCGATAGTCCTCATCAGCAAGAGAATATTGACTGCCAAATGCCCATTGAAAAGAGCTAAACCCAGCAGTAAATTCCGTGGCATTGAGAGAGGAAGCAGTCAAAGCTAGCGTCACCTTTGGGTCTTGACCCGTGTCTTCGAGGTGGATTGCCGTAGCTGTTGTTTTCACATCTTGGATTGCAGCTTCAACAGCACCGTTCGCCCAGGGCTCCTTCTCAGGGATGAAGTGCTGTTGGATGTTCAGCTCAGAAAGAAACTGGGAGAACTCAGGCGTGGAAAAGGTGTTGGCGCTGTCCATCACCACCAAGTTCGGTTTGGGGTAGTGACCTAGCCATCCTTCAGAGAAACATCTGATGATGTCTTGATGAGTTTCACCTTCTTGCTTGAAGTTCTCATAGGTCTTGATGTGGCAAAGGACACGCAGCTTCGTAGCCAAGTCCATGATCAGAAGGAACTTGAGCTTCAGCCTTGATCCAGGAATCTTCCATTCCGAAGTGTCCATTCCAACAGCTTGCCATGCTTTGAACATGGGAGCTGTAGAGGCAGGTGGAATGGAGCCAGAGCTCGTACCACCAGGCTTGATGGATTCACAGGCAGGACACTTGTAGTTCATCACCTCATCAATTTTCCACTGAGGTTGGCCAGCATTCTTGACCAAGCGGGCCAAGTTGCGATTGGTCGGATGACCAGCAGCTTTGTGGTAGGCCGCGATCTTGGCCTGCCACTTCTTGAGCTCGTCAGAGCTTGGTTCATCAGAAGCAGGATCTGCAGGTGGCTGGGCAGACCTCTCATGTGGAAGACCTTCTGGTGATTCATCATCTGGTAGATCTTCTTGTTGTGCTGGGAGAGCGGCCAAAACTGGTAGTAAAACTTGTTCAGGATCTTCAACGTCCAAGGACTGACACAGAGGATCCGCGTAGTCTTCCTTGGCGTACAAAAGTTTCAAATGCTTGTCAGACAGAAACTGCTGTTTCCAAAAACGAGCCACTGACTGACAAAAACGCCAAGGATAATATGCCGATCGAGCCGTTTCAGGCCCTTGGATCCAAACATGGTTGTGAGACCCCAAACAGGTCTTGGTCTTGTAGTTGAGGTGGAACTGCTCATCGGTGGTTTTGATAAGCCACCGTTTTCGAATGAAGCCTTCATTCTTGCTGTCCATGAGGCCGTAGCGACACCCATCAACTCGGCAGTCAAGCCATGGAAGTCCAATAGAGTTGATGTACTTCTCCAAGTCCAACATGGGAGCTTCTTGCCAGCCTCGACAAGGAAACACCCATTCATAGTAGATTTGACAATCTGGGTCTTGAAGAAGAGCATCACGGACAAAAGAGTTCATGCACCACAACATCTTGCGTTCTCTCCGTTGATATTGTTTCAAGAGTTCCTGACGTTCAGGAGAGGCATAGTTGATGTAAGTCCACTGGCAAAACTTGGTGCACGGCAAGCTGAGCCAGATCTTTTTGGGTTTTCGTTGAGCACGGAGCTGCTTCAAACGCTCCCAAGTAGCTGGCTGGTACAAATCAAAGCCAGAGTGGAGATTGATTCTCCTCGACTGAAGACCTTGGGAGTTGCAAGCTTCGGAGAGCCAGCTGTGTGGCGAGCATGCCACTTCCCAGACACCATCACGTCCATCAAGACAAAGTTGAATGGTGCTGGCAGCCATCACCATTAGCATAGAAGCAGCCATGTTCATCAACTTGGATGCCACCCTTGAAGTCAAAGGTCTCGTGCTCGGCAATCTCAGTTCATCTCGCTCTCCTCGTTGTTGGCGTTTTGACATGGAGCAGCCATCGATGACTGAGCTTGGCCCTTGCGCTCTTGAATCACCTGCTTCAGCTTGCTCTTCTCCTCTTCGGACAGAAGAGCTTCCATTTCGGCAGGAGTCGGCGCTTCGCTGATTGCCTCCCAGGATGGAGTTGGGCTCCCAGGAGGTGTCTTCGGCTTCGTCTTGTAGCCGTCGTGGAACAGCACGTTGGAAGGCTTTGGAGCTTCGTTGATCTTTATGACCAGGGCATTCACAACCTCGTCCGCATCGATCTTGGCCTGCATGGCACGGCATAGCTCCAAGGTTGGGCGTCGACCCTCGGTCATCACAAAGGTCTCTCGAAGCATCCTTTCCACCATCCCCGGATTCTCGCACTTGGTCGTCTGACCGGCTGCACCCACTCTCGGCACATAGGACAGACGTAGGCCGCACACTGCACATTCGATCCATCGACCGTGCTGGTTGGATCGCGCTCCCGTCGGTGTGTGCGCCGCATAGCACGGCCATTGATTGGCCTTGGCCCTTGGATCCCTCAGGTCCATACTGACCTCTCTGGAAGGATCGAAAGGCTGAGCTGGTGCCTTCTTCGGTGTGCTTTGCTTCGCCATGCTGGTCAACTGCTTGGACTGCTCCGCAGTGATCATCTCCTTGGAGGTCGACATGGCGAGCACACTTGGAAGAACTCGAATTTGCGCTGTTGCTCTTGGAGATCATGAGAGCTGAGCCAGATGCTGAAGCATTCGAAGGCTGAGCAAGTGATCTCAAAGTTCTCAGTCTTTGCACTGCCTCAATTTTCACCTTCTCATCAAGCATGCGTTCAGAGACCGTGAGATCATAGTATTCAACTGGATGAAATTCTAGAGATTGAAGTGAATGCACAGCTTCGGCACCCTTGACCCGGATGGTGGCATGACCCTCATGACATTCATGTCCTTCAGTTAGAAGCTGAACAACATCCAAAACATAGTGCCCTTTTTGGTTAACTGGAAGTTGAAAAGCTTCACCATCGTTGGTTTGAATAGCCATGCCCGTGGGAAAGTCAATGCAAAGTCCAAAATGTGCATCCCCCAAATAATCCATACCAACCAAAATAGGAACCATGCTTGAACGATCAAAGTTGGGATCATGTAGTTGAGGAGGATTGGGCAACGCAAACAGCTTGAAGGTCTTTGGGGAACCACTAGCATGTGATGTGATAGATGCTCGAAACAAAGCCCTGCCCCACTGCCCATTGCCAAAGCGAAAATACGGTCGCTCGGACTTCTGAATGTCAATCACCGCTTGGTGGTCACGTTCCAAGACACTAGAAATCAGCGACTGAACTGCCAAGAGAGGACCGGCTGATGCAGTCGCTCCGCAGTCAATCAAACCTTGGCTGGGAGACAAAGAAGTGGAGCTAGCAGCCGTGTTCATCTCCTTCACATCCATGAGCTCTAGCCCATACATGCCAGCACTGTATGCGTTCACCGCGGGTCGAGACTGACCCTTGCCCTTGCCTTTCTTGCCCTTGACCCACGCTTGAGCCTCGAGCCATTTGAGACCTTTCGATCCCTTCTTGCCCTTGCCCTTGCCAGTGAAATAGTTGTCAACCTCTTCGTATTCAGTCATGTAGTGAGGCTTGAACTTGCCCTTGTTGAAACCCTTACTGTAGTAGGGGTGTCGCCGATCAGGACATTCACTGGAAAGGTGTGGGCCATGACAAATAAAGCAAGGTCCTCGGCCAGCAGGTTTGCCTTGAACAGGAATCTGACCAAAGCCCCTATCCTTCCTCAAGGCTTGTGTTGCCCTTTGAGCTTCACTCCACGTTCTCTGAGCTTCGGCTGCTAAGGACTCAGCCACGCGCTCAGCTTGCTGAGCTTCTTTGAGAGCAGCTTCATCCTCAGGAGACGGTGAAGTCTCTTCTTCTGCGGCAGCTTCTTCAGGAAGACTGGCATAGTAACCATCATAGTCCCACCAGTCCCAGTCGTCACCATTCCATTCCCAGTCATCACCATAAGCAGCCATTCCATCTAGCCACCACTCATCATAGTGTTCAGCTTGATAGTTGTCATGTTGTTGGCCACGTCCATGCTGACGACCAAGAAATTGCTCATCCCACAGGGTTTGAAGAGCATGGGTGACAACTTCAAACTCTAAACTGCCACGGGTCGTGCCCAGAATGTCACGCTTATCTTCAGGTGAAAGCCCAGCAGCTTGAAGAACTCGAAATCCACGCAGGACGCCGAGCACAAAGCTATCGGCCAGCGTCAGTTCATTCACAACGTCAGGAGAAGTTGATGGAATTCCGACAGATCGTTTCTCAGGAACCAGTGGAGGCACTCTTCCAGACTGGCGCGAAGGTGTTCGGCCAGTAGGAGAGCCCATGTCACCAGGAGGTGTAGCCGGCTCTGCAGCAGCAACTTGAGGCGCAGCAGTGGCTGCCGCAGGTGGAGCTTGTGGTGGATCTTCAGCAGGAACTTCGGGAACTTCTGATGGAGGGGAAGAAGACGTTCGCCACCAGTCATCCCACTCACCTTGAGTCCATTCGTCCTCCAGTTCATCAGAAGGCAGACCAAAATCTTTGTCATCCTGTTTGATCCCATGCTTGTCTTCGTAAAGACGTATGATGGCTTCCATGAACTCGCTATAGCCCAAAGCTTCTCGAACCAAAAAGGCATGAATTGGTTCTCCTGGAGCTCGCTTGAAGGAAAAATACTGCTGACAAATAGCAGCAGCATTTGGAAGCGATTGCCTCACCAAAGGAGAAACTGCAAGTCGACGCAGATACTCCTTGGTGCCCCCAACCTTGTCGAAGTCCACATCTGGCCAAGACATCGCCAGAAGCCTAGCAGGCCCAGTCAGCCTACTCATCAGCTTCGAAGCGCAATGTCGCCTCTTGTTCTGAGGCGTGGCGCGGACATACCAACACACTTCTCGGGTGTATCGGCGCCAGCCCTTGGCTTGACCATCCCAACCAGGCACATGGTGCTCCTTCTCCATCTTGCCAAAGGAGACTGCAAGGAAAAAGCAAAGGCCCAGGTCGCGTCACCTGGAAGTACAAAGAAGTCAGCTGCAGCCAAAAATGCAAAAGCCCGACTGTCGCCGCAACGTCAATGCCTCAAGCAATGATTGCAGCAGCAGCAAGAGATTCAAAGGCCCTGGCACAGCCGCAAGTCCAGCGCAAGCCAATCCCTTGAGGATGTAGTAGCGCAGCAGCTGGAGCAACACTTGCTCCGCTACCAGTGTAGCGGGTGCACACTGGCAGCAGATATGGGCTCTCAACCAAATGGGGTTTCCACAGCCCCACCAATCAAACAGCACAGCAAATGAAGCGAGCGCAAGGCTCAGCAAATGTTTTCCATGCACAGCGGGTGTGCGTACAATCGCACCATCAAGTGCTCAAAGGGGCCCCTACAGACCCGTATGGTCATATGAGCCAAGCATCACGGAGTCATCCAAGTTTCAGATTGGCAATGCTGATTGGCAAAGGAAGGTACCTGGCAGGTCAGGAGCTGGACATGTTGCAGAATCCAATCCTGCGAAACCCTGAGGCGCGATGTGGGCATGGTGAGCAATTACTCCCAGACCATACGCGCGGCAGTGTTTGCTGAACAAGCAGGTGGGGCCTGGGTGGGGCCTGACGTGGCCAAAAAAAATCACAATGCCTGGGTTGACGTGGCCAACCATCACACCATCACAATGTCGTGACGGGAAGCGGGAGATCCAGATGCTGGAAGGCTGGACGACATGGAAAGACTGCTGATACATGGGTATGGCTCAGAAGCATCGACCTAAAAATTGGTTGTTTAGAACTCAAAATCACCAAATTTCTGGGTCCCCTGTTCCCTGTACCCGATTTTGAGCCATGGGTCAAACCCACAATTTCCTCTCAGCCAACTTCTGGCGAGATCGCGCATGCTCTGTGACGGGCTCCGGACTCAATACGCGCGGAGGCCGAGTTGCGGGCAGCAGGAGTGACTTGTGTTGAATGGATTTGAATTTGATTTGAATGGCTTGTTTGCCCCCAGCATCGGTGTCTTACAGCAATATCCTAGTGCCACCAAGATTTGAGGAACTCTGCACCGCCCAAGTCCATGTTGGAGTTCCCCGGCTTGTCGATGGAGCACCGGTTGGGGAGTTGGGTGATGGAAGGCAACAACATTTTCACAAAGGAATTTGAAGCGTCGGGTCATGAATGTTTGATCCGGGAGTTTCCAAGAACCAACGGATAATTTTGAGTACCTTATTACTATATTGATATGGGTTCATGATTTTTGACAGTACGCAATAGCAAAGTGGTACATTAGGCTGTCGTGGAAACAGCGACTTGTCCTCGCTGATTCGATGGTAAGCCAAGAGTCATCAAGAGTCACAGTTGGATAAGATGACGTACTCATGGAGTGTTTGGCTGAATGCTACCTAAACAAGGTCAATGAACAAACACACATATCAAATAATGATTTGATGATCAATTCGAGACATATATATATATATTATAAATAATACATATATATATAATAATAATAATAATAATAATGATAATGATAATGATAATGATAATAATAATAATATATCATATCATGTATGTCAGTTTAGGATATACTGTCCATTTGCATTGCATCCATTTGTACCATTGTTAGTATAGCTAATGACAATCAACCATGATTACCATTCCCAAAACGAGCCTTTGAAGCCCAGCCCCCATGGTCTTCCACAACAACTCTTCAGCCGGGCTGATCATCAGGAGCGTTTGCGATGGTTGTGCTTTGATCTGACTTTCCAGGCTGGTGGAAAACGTCGGACCAGCGGGGGAGAATTTCTAATTCTATTCCTCTGGAAATCTCCCATTTCACCTCCTTGTATCTTATAAGCGAGAGCAACCGTGTTGATGGGAAAACTTGAACCCCAAATCAATCTCTATATTTTTTGGGAAGAATTGTCCAGTTTAAACCAATCCATTGATCAATCGTAGTGACTGGTATTGATGATCATCATCACATCCTGTAGCAATTTCTTGGCTAATCGTTCCCTTGTCAAGTGCGCTTTCCTGTACCAGTCAGAGCATCTAGGCAATAGTACTACTGTTCCTTGTTTAACAGATCCATTGTTAGCCCACAGATCATCGGATATGATCAACTCCAAGATTTCTTGGTTGGTGCCGCAGGCTCGACTGCTACAAGCCCTGGGCATGGCAGAGAGTCAAGAGCCGGGTCACCTGTAACTGATACTCGAGCATGAAAGGCAAAGGTTGGCGGCTAGGCAATGGATTTTGAGAGAGATTTTGGGCATTTCTAACACTCAAATAGATCCGAATGGATCGGAACGGGTCCAAATGGATTGAACTGGGTTGCAGCCTTCCACACGAAATGAGGCTGCTGGTGGTGAAAAAGATCCAATACCATTCCTTGAACTTTGAAGCCTCCTGGGCCCGTTGCCCGAGTCACCGAAACCGTTGGTGGTTGATGGTGGAAAAATGGGATCTGCCATGTGGGTACCCCTCTCCACAAACCAGAAGAGGGGATGACAGACAGCTTAGCTAGCTTATCTTTGAGCTGGACAGAATTCAAAAAGAAACACAGCCATGCCAAGACGCAGTCAAACCATTGATAGCCATTAGTAGCCAGATTGTCCTTCTGAAGTGGAGGGAAAGCTTCTGCAATCATCAACCAGCCATTAGCAGCTATTATTCACCGAGAATAATGATCAACCAATACTCATCAACCATTCTTAACCATGCAACCATTAAAACCAAGCAGGATGAGGCACATAACTGGCTTGCTTCACTCTGCTGCTAAGGCTCTCGGCGTGGCCATCGGCCAACTCAACAAATGAGAGTTGCAACTTCCATGGGAGTTTCTCAAAGGGGCAGATATGGAGATTTTTATAGTGATTTTATGGGGATAATCTTGCGATAATCATGGGATTCTTGTCACCAACAGCGTGGTTTTGGGGGTTTCTAAAACATTGGTGACCCCATGTTGTCATCAAACAGTTGTCATTTTAAATCTGGAAGCCGATGGTGAACCGAAGTAGCTTAATTTTCAGAAACCAGAAGATCAGCCCGGATTGGTTGAAAAGACCAGCGGCTGTATCCACTGCTGTGGTGAAAAGCCAGAGGGGCAAAGGCAGCCAAAGTGCCAGCTGCGGCCGCTGCGCAAGTTGGAGGGATAAAAGTTTGCCGTAATTTCTTGTGACTCTTTGCAGGATGACCAGCATTTAGATGCCTTGCATAAGGCATAAGAGTGCACCAGAAGCTGAATCTTCCAGTTTCAACAGCAGAATCAACCACAAGGGTAAGTACCTTCAATCTAATTGTCTAGGGCAAATGGACCCAAAGGATCTCACAGGTGGATGATATCATGGAGCCAGTGCTGCTATGGTCCATGCAGCTTCCAGCGATCCCAGCCGCGCGAGATGGCGATGGCGAAGAGTGACCTCAGTGACCTCGGAACTTCCATGGAATGGGCTGTCTCGGAAGTGCAAAAGCAGCAAGCAGAATCCTTAGACACTCGGTGACGCTGATGGAGCCGGGACTGTGACTTTTAAAAAAATACTCCAAAATCCAATGGTGATTGAAAAAGACCACAGATTTTTCCGACCCAAATTTCGATCAAGTGGGGGCAAACACACTATCCCCCGAATTTCCAAGCTTCATCTTTTCATATCTGGTTCCTCATTTTCTATCTGCGTTCAGGAGTAGAGAAGTAAAGGAACAGTGTCTTCACAAGGACGAAGGAACCGAGGGAAGAGCTTTTTTTGAGCTTCCCCATAACCCTCCCATTGCAGAAAAGCCACATTTTTTCCCTGGAAATCTGGAGTTTTCACCCGATGCCCCGATGGGTTCTAGGTCCGAATGGAGGCGCTGCGGAAGCAACACCTCGACTGGGAAGCGGCCGTGAAATCGATGCTGCAGCAGATCCGTGATACCTTCAGCGAGGAAGTGGAGACATCTGCGCGCGTTGAGGCCGATGTTTTCGCAGAGGTGGATTTTGCCGCAACAAAGATGAGGGTGTGTCATGGGGATATGAATTGGCATTATCATTATACAGTATCATGAGATATAAAAGCAAGAACTTGATAGAAATTGTGGATAATGGATGTCTCTGACAATAGAGTATACCACCATTTTATGGTCATTTTTAAGGTTTGGAAAATGCTGCTCCAGTCACCACTGGTTTCCGAAGTCGACCAAGAACTTGGATTCTGGGGGATTTCGCCGAATGGTCAGTGTTCAAAGGACGTTCAGATGAGAAACTTTTGGAGTTGAGGAGCAATTGCGTCAGTTGCTTCAGCAAAGCCGCAAACCGATTCAGCAAGTCAACGCAGAGTAATAGCTACCCTGGATCTGGATAGATAGATTAGATGAGATGAGATGAAATTAGATTGGATTAGTTTTGATCAAAATGGATTGGATTAGATTCGCTTAGATAAGATAGAAAGTCAGATAGTCAGGTAACGTAGGAAATCTAGACAACTCGATGGCTAAATGTCTGGCTAGATCAAAACTGACATATTTGATTGAATATGAATAATATAATAATATATATATATGATATACATATAGCTGATATACATATATCTGATATATATATATACACACATATACTTACGCATACTCCCTTTTTTCCCAAGGGGGCCAAGGGATTGAGCAGCACGGAGCCACATTTTGTTTCTTAAATTATCCTGTTGGGCGAGATTCATCGTTGTCATGGTCATCCACTTGGATGAAACATGGGGTACCCGCCATGACCATGGGAACCATACACTATCATTATCCTATGATTGTCCCATTATCTCACCATTATATCACCATTGGAAATCCCCATGATTATTTCACTAGAGGTTTCCTGCTATTATTGGAAACCTCATCACAAACATCGTCCGCGAGTTGAAACGGGGGAGCTCCACGTTGAGCCAACGCTCGACCCACTTCGCCGGCGCGCGGGAACTGCAAAAGCTGCGAAACTCAACGGCGCGGCAGGACATCATGGGCTGACTATGGGATGGAACATGTTGTGTAATGGGGATTCAATGTGATAATCATGGGATATAGCCATGGTGCTTATCTCATATTGTAGTATGTTCATGTATGTTAAGGATAAGTGTTGGATCCATCTTTGTGACGTTTTTATGTTGTTTGTTTGTTTGTTTGGTTGGTTGGTTGGTTTTGTTTTGTTTTGTTTCGTTTGTTTGTTCATTGTTTGATTTCATTGGTTGTGATTACAAACGTCACTTCAAGATGGTTTGTTCACAAGCAACGATGGTGTCAACACCCCATCTTATGGCCATTCTCATGGGGAAATTGTTATTCGCTTCCATGGGAATTTGGGTGTGTCATATTGGTACCAAAAGGTGACGCTTAAAGCTGAGGTTGCACACATTGATATCTATGATTCACCATTGTTTGACGTATGATTTCACAATATTACATACTGTTTTTCAGAATCTCTGATTACACGCAGTCTGGTTTTTGATTTTAGAGCCATCCACTGCTGGGGTCGGGCGATATTTTCCAATCGCCTTTTGCACCAGGGAGGTGCAGAGTGACGATGTCGAAATGATTCAGATGATGTACATCGATTCATTTTTCAATGTGTGATCCTGGATTTGTCGTGTCCATCATCATCATTTCACCACCAATCCTTGGGACCTCTACAGCACAGGGTTTGTCTGAACATGTAGAACAAAAATGCCCGAAATTTGATGCTTCAAAGATCTTTAAAGTCAGTTGTACATGATTTTCCTTCTTAAAATGGCCATGTCGGGGATCACAGGGCTATTTTGGCATGGCCTCCATCGATATCTTCGGGCCAGGACTCACCACCGGTGGCCATTGCCTCCAGCCCAACGGGCCCAACGGCTCCGTCGGGCACCGCGCTAACCGTGCGGAGACACCGAACTCGCAGCTCGGAGAATTCCCGGATGCTGCTGGATGCATCTTTCAGCCAGACATCATCAACCAGTTTTTTTTTTCCCTTTGTGTTTTTTATTTATGGGGATTTTCATAAAGATGGGATAAGATGGGTACTCCAAAAATGGATTTTTGCTATAATGAATAAATCCTACTATAAATGGATGATTGGGGGGGGTAGCCTTACTTTAGGAAACCTCTATTGACATGTTTATTTTTGGGATTTAGCACAAACATGACCCACTGAAAGTTCAAGCAGGGGATCTTGCCGTGACCCAAGGTTGGAAGAGATTTTGTCTCAGCCCGGCTCTCCTGAGAGACCTCGCAGTAATCGGATTCAAGGAGTGCTAGCGTGGATTGTCGAGTCCACGGTCTTTGAATGTGTTACAGGCGGACGGCGGTGGGATAGTCGCTTTGGAATTAGAAGTACACCTATCATAGCTGATCATCATCATTATATATATATAATATTATATAATGTATTAGAGGTGTTTACAGAATTTCACAAAGAAACACTGGGGTCATTTGCAATTCTGAATTAAAACAAGCCCCAAAACGATAGCACCTCATTTGCTACTATTTTTGATGACATGTCATTTGTAGCGTAATTTTTCTGCCCATTTTCAGACACTTGGCTGAACAAATCCCAGCATCTCCCAAGAGGCGCATCCGATGAACATCCGGGGCGCAGGTTTTGTCATCCTGTTAAATATGATCCTGATTGGTGCTGAAGCTGAGATGAAGGTGAAGGGCCAGGTCACTGACTGGGCAGAAAACATTGAGCAGCTGGTTGGCACTGTCAGATATATACATTGATACAGTCAGGGCATTAAGTCGCATCAATTTTGTTGTTTTCAGTCAGTTGGGGTGGAGCTTCCCAGGGGGGTCGCATCAATTTTTCGTTGTACCATGCAAAATTGAGTATAAAAATCATTCTGATTCTAAATATCATTCATTTGTTGTATTTGTTCTGCTTATTCCTTGCGGAACTTGTTGTCATGAATTGTCAAGAAACTTTGTTCTTCTTATTTAGACAGGTAGAAACAGGTCGGTTTACAGTTGGGTCTTTTGGCATCCATGGCATACGTGGCCTCCTCCCCCCATCCCCCACCCCCTGAGATGTTCTCTATTGGCAATGCCTTGAATCACAAGTTGTATATCACAATTTCATTCTGTATGCCGGCATCGTGTGCTCTGTAGCTACAAAATCCAATCAGAAGCCTTCCCCCTGAACATCAACAAGGGTGAAAACAAAAGATTTTTTCAGCACAAGTCTTTAAATGTTCTTGTTCTAGAACCATCAACATACAGCCTTCCCTCAAGCGATTTGACATAGCTGATGTGACCATGATGTGAAGGGGTCGCATCGACTTCCCCACATAGGAATTATGCTGCCCCAAAAAAGTTGATGAGGCCTTCACTGTATATATATATATATACACATGATTATATATGTATATACATAGCCATCCTGAAGTGGATGAAATTTGAAAGTTTCAACAGTATTCCCATTTTGATGATTTGGTTTGACATTTCCATATTCTATCTACTCCAGGACTCGTGCACATGGGTAGCCATCCACCAAAGTCCAAATATTGGGAACTTGTTCAGTTAATGTTCCCGGGAAGATTGAGGTGTCCTCTCCCTCTAAACATATATAACAATATATGTTACATATCCATTATCGTCAGTTATCCACTGATTTCTTGGGTTCCTTCGGTCCATTTTCTTGAACATCTATGTTCCAAAACATGCTTCTGCAGGATGCACATTTTTTTTAAAAGTAATTTTGCATTTTCCCATAGGAAAATACAGAAACATAGGGCATTTTGAAGAAATCATCCTCAGTCTTCGGCTCTTTTACATCTTCACATCGCACGAAGAGTCTCTGCGGTGACGCGGCTGAGGTTAGCATCACGTGTGAATGCAAACAGTAGAGAAGATCTTACAGCGTAGCATCAGGTGTTAATGCCAACAGTAGAGAAGATCTTAAAGCGTAGCATCAGGTGTTAATGCAGACTGTAGAGAAGATCTTACAGTGTAGCATCAGGTGTTAATGCAAACGGTAGAGAAGATCTTACAGTGTAGGATGAGGTGTGAGTGCAAGTGCACATGAACGTTATTACACCACCCCACCCCACCCCGCCACCCAAAATTGCTAAAACGCACGTACGGTTTCCCAGCCGCCAGCATTTTTATCAAGACAGATATACGTTGAGTAAACACATCAATCAGGGTGGGCCTGAGAGCCAGCGGCCGCCAGCATCATTGAGGCGCTTCTTCTTGGCACTTTACACAGTTGAGCTCCTCATGCGTTTTGCTGTCGGGAGGTGGCCCTTGTTTCGCAGTGGCTGCTGGGACGATTTTATGGGGGGTCCCCAAATTAAGGGCTTCTCAAAGAAAGGAGGACCCAACACCACCCACCAAATTGGTCTAATTTTGCTACTGAAATCATGCTTTTTGGATGGTTTTGCGGGTCCTGAAGTTTGAGAACCACCAAAAGTAGACACAAGTTCTAACTAGAAATGGTACTCTCATGTAGTGATAAACTGGCTTGTTTCATTAAATATGTGATATAACGTTGAACTCTTCTGGCCTGAAAGACTTGTATACCCGAAACAACCATAGAGAAACCTCCCTAGTTCATATGGTCAAACAATATTATTGCCACTAAAGTTGACACATCGTGGGGTAGATCCACAAGCTTTGGACACACCCATTGATTCTTCCGATCACCAAAATATATTGTTGGTTGTATCCCCCAATGTTTTATGTCCTATTTTGGACTCACAGGATTTGATGTTTGTTTGCAAACACCCATGATCTTTGGTGATCTAATCCCAATTTCACAGATACAGTTCACTGTTGATATTCCAAAAAGATCCCCCAAATTATAACCCACGGCGCGCTTCTTCGTTTCACAAACCCTGGTTGAGGCTGGTTCCTGCTGGATTTCTTCCTGGTTTGTCTGGGCCTTCTGGCATTGGTGGTGATACCCACGATCGAACAGGGTGCACAAGAAGGCTTCGAGCAGGTCTTGATCGTAACCTGGTGATTTGTTGGGCCATTGGCCAGGTCTTTAGGTGTCTGAAAATGGGCCCAGAATTCCCCAAATTTTATGGTCATGACTCATGACCTTCATTTCGTGGGAAAAATGGTCCAATTTCTGAGTCCCCTATTTTGCACCACAAAGGGAGATGGATCCCAATTTGATGATTTGGCACTTGGGGATGGATGATTTTTCACAATGAAAAAGGGGGATGTCATGGGATATATAACTTACAATATACCATCTTTGGGGGAATGAAACATCCAGAACTAGCTGCTATTTTGGTGGTGAAAACCACAAGACCAGGGTTTTCACTGACTCATAGCCATCATAGCCATGGGGAGGGTAGGGTGACTTGGCCATGGGCCATGGCCTTGACAGGAACCTCAATTTTTCATGCAGAAAATAGTGATAAATAATACTGATCAGTGCAAGTCTAAAATGCTGGTAAGCCATATATTTCTATCTATTTTACCAACACAGAATCTGAACTTCCGGGTGCATTCCTGTTGGTAAGTGGCTAATTGCAATCCAAAAAAAGGCGACGATGTGTGCATATCCTGGTGGGTTTTTGGGCTATTCACCACTGACTAAGTGGGAGCCAGGCCATCCTTCCGGGATCCTCCCATTTTTTGGAAAGGCCATTGATTCTTCTAATGCCCCAAATAAAAAACTTCTTGTTATATCCCAAAACATATTCCCATATTTTATTCCTGCATAGAGATATACAGATATACAGTATGATTTTTGGCTGGTGACATTTGCAGGACTATTGTTGGTTATATTCCCATGTACATGACAGATAGTCTGCTAAAACAGCTACGTATCACCATAAAATCCCCACATCTATCCCGATATCTATCCCATTGATGTTGCGTCGCCATTTGAATCACCATTTGCCTCCCATTGTCATCCATTGTCTAGATATCCACAAAATCCCAATCGCTTTTTCAAGGCCCATTCAACTACCATAAAACCCGCCCAGAAGCTGCCATTCAAACCACCATCTCCAGCTGTCAAAATCCGCATTGATCGCATCAGAGATCTGTCGAGTCGACGCGGAAAGGTACGAGGTCTTCGATTACTGCGCTTGGCACGTGTGCTCCGTATGGTGCACAGGTTCAAGGCTACGGATGACCAAAAAAAAAGGTGTGTAGCTATAGTAGTATCATAGATATTAGCCTATGTTAATTAAGGGGATTTCATTGGATTTAATATGATTTAATGGGACTTTAATTGCATTTACTGGGATTGAATGGGGTATATGATGGATATGACATTCTGGCAATTCAAGATAGCTATGAACAAACATCCAGCTTTAATGGGTAAACCATCCACAAATGGGCCATTTTCCATAGCTAAGTTGGATTACCAGAGGGTGTGCAGTGGTGGCATAATATGTGTTGTGTCATATCATAGATGTTGCTTAGACATGACAGACATGATAGATGTGATAGATCATCATAGTTACAAGACGTACATATATGTATGATTGTTCATATATGTATATTCATATAAATTATAATTAATTATACATAAGCGAAAGACACGCTGGAGTTAGTGGGAGATCTACCCAATATCTGTTCCACCACGCCAGCGTGAACTTGGAGTTTTGTGAGCCCTCGCTGGCTGTGGCAAATTGAAATGTCGAACTTGGCTGGACACGTTGCCTTTGTCCGTTTGTGTTGTACTTTATTTCATGTTTCCTGGGAGCAACATATTGACAATGCAAGTCCCAGTCTGAAGGAGGTTGTTTGTGCATATGTGCAAAGCGTTGGAAAGTACCGTGTTTTGACAGAATGCAACTGTGTCTGATTGCGTATTCTTTTGCAGAGGATTGCCCATTATTCTTGCCTGTGACAACCCGCGTTTTTCCACGTGTTGCTAGTCAGCATTTTTTTAGTCAAAATAGATATTCATTGCGAAGAAATGAGAAGGAACACTCGCAAGTTTCTCAAGTCCAATTTTTTTACATTCTGCCTGGCATGTTGGTCTGCCTTTTTCTCAGAAAATCACATGATATCTCTGTACCCAAGGCGCAGTTCTTGTGGACTTTTTGTAAACTTTCCACCTTGAGTTTCAGAACTGGTACCCAGCCCTAGGATCAATGAAGCTGGCTACATGATCATCTGGTTGGTGGTTTGGAACATTTTTTATTTTTCCATATATTGGGAATAGTAACCCCAACTGACGAACTCATATTTTTCAGAGGGGTAGGTATACCACCAACCAGTCATCAATGTTTTTTTTTGATTTTCCAACACACATCACTATTGTGTGGAGATGGAACCCATCCCCAGGTGGTCTGGCCCCACATTTCTGGCTTGTTGAGCGCTTGGGATACCATGGTCTCCACCACTGGTTTGATCATGCTGCTTGGCCACTGATACCAAGCCCATCAGAAATGGTGGTTTACACATGAAGCATGGGAGTTAAAGATATATAGATGTGGGTCAAAATGGAAGACCGATGTGGGACCACAGATGTTAGTTAGTCTAGTTTAGTATTAACCATCCAATTATTGGGGTACCTAATTTTGACCCATACCCATATAGGTTAACCCGTAAAGATTTGGATTGAAGCAACTTTTCCCGCGTTTTCAAGGCAAAGAATTGCACAGGTTCACATCTGTGGGATGCAACCTTTTTTCAGATTTCGCCGCAGCTCTGCGAGTCAAGCTACCATATATTACACCAAATGCGTATAATTAGTATAATATATATATATGTATATTTATAGATATGTATATATTATATACACATGTATACATATACATGTGTGATGATATATGTCAGACTATTTCATTACATATCTCAGAGCACCTGTCAGCAATTATGTATGTTAGAATATATATATATATATGAATAGATAGATTTATAGGTGTCAGATGATGTCAGATTGCGGCAGAGCATATCTCAGAATACACATCAGATACATAGTCAATCATAGTCACATAGTCAGAATATATTAGTGCATGTGCCTGTGTCAGAGTATGCCAGTATAAATGCAGTCACTACAATTCAGACTCTGGTTACGCTGACATGCAAGTGATTGCATCCTCAAGTCCTCTGAAAAATCATGGTTTGAGATCGCATGGCAGATGCCAGAATTCAGGAACCCAGATGGAATGCGTGCTTTCTTTAGGATTCTTTCAACTATTGTTCCAAAGCTTGACTATGCTTTAGTATTTTGACTTCTGTAGAAGTAGCTAAGATTGGGACATAACCAACTAAGAATAGTTATCATGGGGATTCACCAACTATAATTGGGGTATACGATGGGGATATCAGCTTTGATCTTCTGTTCATTTTGCGCATGGGATGTTGGGATGCACGTAGATGGGCAATAAGCCCTCATCACACAGTGGTTGTTTGGGGTGGTCAATAAGCTCTTCATCCCGTTCTTTTGGGGGTCACCTTCGCTGGTGAATTTCCGTTTCTCAGGATTTGGCTCTACATCTTTGGTTGTGTTGCCTTGGAATTTATCACCACTGATGCGGAGCTTTTGGCGGACCCCGCCACGACCTCCATCGTCAAAGAAAACTTTGGAAGCCTTCCCAAGGCGACTCTGACATTGCTTCAGGCTGGGTCACAGCTGTTGAAGAACTGGATCACTCCGGCTTGATGAGCTCCACAACCTTCCATTTTGATCCATGCAATACTCCATTTTAAATATAGCTCCTCATGGGGGAATTGCTGTGATCACCGTCCCAAAGCCACAGTTCGTGACAATGGATGCGATTGCGAATGTGTACTACCCTTTGGTCATGGCGAAACCTGTGCTGATTATCTACTTTCTTCCCCTGTTGATGTGCCTTGCTTGCACATTGCAACATATTGCAACGGACGAAACCATTTGCTTTGGTCAAGGGCCGAAGGTCGGGCCTTTCATGGGGGCCCTCAGGTTTTTGTCAATCGGCCTCATGAACTTGGTGACGGCTGTACTTGCTCAGCCCTCAGTGAGAAACTCTTTGTTGGTGGCAAAACATGGACACACCAGAATCGCCATGAACCGCCCGGGATACCATGCCTCTTTGCTTAGGTCATACATACCCTCAAGAGACCCCTGTGGCACTTTCTACCTACCGTTGCATTCCAAATCGATCTACGGATTTTTGATTCTGCATGCTCAAGCACCGCCTCCCACGTATATACATTTCGTTAAAAATGTCATTCCGAATTCAGAACGCGGCGACTGGCGGCGGGCCAGACGGTCTAAGGTTGAACACGCCCTTGAACACGCCTCGCAAGAAGCGGAGCATGCGCGTCTAAATCAGAAGCAACGGAGTCCAGCCTGATTTTCAAAGGTTGTGTTGGCAACCCGAGCAGCCCGAATCCAGCAGGGCATTTGCTTTCTTCAGAAACCAGGCTGTTACTGACCTGTGACCTGCAGTTGTTTCCTGATGAGCCGCCTCCCATTCTTCATTCAGTTGGATCCCTAGGATCAAAGATACGCTACCCGATCTGCTCAAGGTGCAAGACTGGGATCCCAAAATTGCTGTGATCACCAGCCCCAATTTCTGAGTCGAGAAAGGGTCCCCTACTTATGGAAACACCAGCGGTGTGGTTTTGACAGACCCTTATTTAGCAATGTCATGCAAGAGTGAATGCGGTTGACATCATATCTTTTAACGCGAAATACGGGAGAATATGGGTTTGTTGTTAGTTTATTCCATCAAAGTTTGCAACCGGAGCTTTCAACCGGGGCCTGGCGGCATGATTTGATGACATTTGATCTAGCAGTTTGGGGTTTACCCCACCGGGCATCAAAGAATTGGGAAAATGGGTTGGTATGAAAATGTCTGACAATAGGGTATCCCAAAATTTGATGCTTAATCATCGTGAATTCACGATGAAAACTAGCATTTTATGGGTATATATCCCTATTTCCAGCAAGTGTGCTGCCTTGGATGCGGCGCAAAGTTCAAGTTCTTGATGCCTCTGGGACCGGGAAAGAAAACAAGAAAGAAGGGCATTCGACGGCAAAATGCAATATAACCTATATTCGCATATAGTATAGTAATCCCGAAAAGATAGAACAGTAAATTAACAGGAATGTACTTTTCTATCTTTTTGAAGATGGCTAGAATCAAATAAACAATCCCAATAAATAGCATTAAGTATTTCCCCAGAAATGCCAATAAATGAGGCGATATTCCCATGTAATCCTCCATAATTAAACAGTTTCCCCAAACAACCCCAGGTAATTTCCCAAACAATCCACAATAGCCTATCATTTTCCCAATATTCAAGTCGCTTCGCGATGAGTACCGCCCGCACCCAGAGTAGATGCAAATTGTGCAGGTCAGGGACGACTTTTTGAAGTTGAGGAGTATGGTAGTTGGGGATGCGGGTGAAGAAGACGGGGGGACTTGGCCCAACTAAAGTTGCCTGGGGTCAAACACGAGCCAACTCGGGCCAGTTGGCTCCAAGTTGAGCCTAACTGGCGTCCAACATGGCACAACTTGGGCAGGTTTGGACGCAAGTTGGGTTTAACATGCGCATCTGGTGCCGGAGTTGGGCCCAAGACAGGCCCAATGTGGGAACACGGCCTTGCGCGGGATGCTTGTATAGGAGGCCACGAGATAAAGTCTTATCGAAGGTGGTGCCATGACCATGTGCCAAACCATCTTAAAGGTCGGGGCGTGAAGATCTTTATCAAAAGAAAACTTGTTCAAGCCGCTGCTGTTCGGATGCAGCGGGTTGCTTGTGCTTTGGTTTCCCCCTAGACTTTTCATTGTCATTGCAAGGGTTCTTGTCGAGTAATTTAGCTGCATCTTTTTTTCTTTGGCATTCTTGCCCTTTCAGTGGCGGCTAGCTGAGAACAAAAGCCAGCACGGCTTCGACGTGACCACCGGCACCGGGGAGAAGCTGGGACCGGCATCCATCGGATGTGGGCAGAAGCCGCAAACGTGGAGGAGCAGCACGCTGACCTTCGCGCCCAGCTGAAGGAGCTGATCCAGAGGACCCTGGGCGGATCCGTGTTGAAAACTTGTATTACCTCACGTACGCATGGGGTTCCTGACAGCGATTGGAAATTTCATGTTGCTTGGAATTGCTGGGCTCCTCTCTAAAAACTGCACATCCCACGACCCCTCCTTGCATATTTTGAATGTCATTTTTTATATCGTATGAGCTCAACATACACCTTTGTAGCTAGGCTGCTTTGGCTACGCTTTCGGGCCATGGTGCAGGATGCAAGCGGATGGCACCACGGTCGAAAAGCTGGTGGAGCCCACGCCGGCGAAGGGCAAAGATGTCAAAGGGGTGCCTAAGCTGATTGAGCAAGGTGTGTTATGGTTTAGGTTTAGGGCTTCTCTTGTCGTTGCTGCCGCGCATTTTCTGACGCGCCTGACTAGGTGCGCGCTCCTGCACAAGATTCGGTTGGATACTGCGGCACCGGACGAGCAGGAAACTTACATGGTAAGCCTGGCAACCCCGGTGGAGGAGAAGGATTTCCACCACATTAGCAGGCACCTTGGCGGAAGAGCTTGTTGGCTTTTTTCCCAGGGCGAAAGAAATAGTACATGAATTGTTTTCCGTGTCACATGGTGCCTCACCGAGCCATGCAGTGGCAGGGTGGTGTTCTTTAGGCGTTATTCTTTGCAAAGAGAGGGGGAGAGACAGAGACAGACAGAGACAGACAGAGAGAGAGAGAGAGAGAGAGCGGGAGAGAGAGAGAGAGTTATAGGGGTTCGTAAGCTACTGCAAGCACAAAAGAACATGCCCACGTTCGCCTTGACTGGCGAGACAAAACCGATGAGGAGAACAAAGCGGGCGCTCTTCAACGGTGGCGGGCGGTACAGCGCCGTCCTGTTAGGGCAGCGCTGGAAGCCCAAGCAGCACCTTGACGGGGCCGCGTGGTATCTGCGAGCCTTGGTGGAGCAATCATCCTGCCCGACTTTGAGGGCAGGGCATCGCGGTGTGCGACATGCACGCGGCGGTAACTTTTCACACCGCCTTTCAAGAGGAGCAATGTAGCTTTGAATTTGGCCAGGCTTAGGCCCGAGTTGAGCTATGTTGGACCCAACTTCAGCCAGTGGTCATGTTGGGCTGAAGTGGGCCCAAATCGATCCAGATGGACCCCAAGTCGAAGCCATGCCACGCACAGGTAGCTTTAGGTCAGGTCCAACATGGTGCAACTTGGAACCGTTTGGTGGCAGCTTCGCACCAAGTTGGGCCCAACGTAGGCACAACATAGGCTTCGTCCATGCCAAAAGAAACGTGGAAAATACCAATGAAAACGCGTTATTTGACGATTTCGTTCTGGGCCGCCTTGGGCCGAAGTTGTGGAGCCAAGTGGGTCCAAGTTGGGCCCAAGTCAGGGGTCGGGGCCTTGTTGGCCAACTTGAGCCCATGCTGTGGACATGTGGGCTTGAAATATTGAAACTGGACGATGTGGCACTTACATGCAAAATGGGCAAAAGAACCTGGCATCCTTAGATGGCGCAACTCCCCATCTTGCGCTATCTACTTTCAAACGGGCAGATTTCAGTTTTTTCCTTCAGATTCCTATTTATGTGATAGCGGTGTCCGCGCCATGAAACGGAGCCTGGTTCTTTTACCCCCGTGTTTATGCCCCAAGAATCGAAAAGCTCCCACAATTTTGAATAAATATATTATGCAATATTGTTAAAAATTGCAAACTTATCTGCGAGGAATTCCCCCAATGATCACCCCAAAAAATCACCCAAGAACCCGAATCAATCCCAAATAGACATATTCCCCAACAATATCCCCTTTAATCCTCAAATTCATTATCCAAATTCCTCTCCCTTTCTGCAGGTCTTTCAAGGCTTGGACGCCGATGGAAGCGGCTCGTTGACCCGACAGGAGCTGGCGGACGTGCCGGCGCCTGGGCGGGGGTTCAAGTCAGAACGGTGACTGGAACGGGGATCTGGGGAGGGTTGTTGGGGGCATTCAGATTTTGGAAAATTTTATGTGATTTTTACAACCAAAAATGGCAGTTTATGATAAGGAAAATGAGGTTTTAAACCATGGGTTTTGGGGTACCCTATTTTTAGTCTTATGAATCCAATAACACAGAGAATATAGGGTTTGACAAAAAAAATCAAAAAACAAAACAAAAACAAAACCAGGGCAAACAAAAAAAACTAGAACACCAAAACCAAGGAAAAGACAAGAAAAAAAACAAAAAAAACACACAAAAAAAAACAAAAACTGCGGAACATGCAGGTTTTTTTTTCTTCTTGTTTTTTATTTGTTTCTTCTGGTGATTCTTCCTGTCGATTTGTTTTTTTTGGTGATTCTGTTGTTGTTTTTGTTTTTTTTTTATTTTTTTTGTTTCTTCTGGTGATTCTTCCTGTCGATTTGTTTTTTTGGTGATTAGGTTTTTGTTTTTTATCTTATTTTTTTTGCTAAAATCCACTTTCTCTGTTCTACACGGGGTCATAATGTTAGACAAACCCATATGGGGATGGGTCGGATTTCATGGTTAGTGTTTCTTGGGGGGACGAACATCCATTTGCCAGCTATCTTGACAAGGGTACCAGGGTTTTAGTCCATGGCAATGGCCATGTCTCAAAATGTCTTTTGTTTTCGATAAGACGTAATTTTCACATGTTCAAATGGACAAAAGCGGGATGATCACTGGAATTTGCACCCAACCAGAAGATATAAGATAAAGGGAATATGGATGATAATAGGGATGTAATATACCCCAAAATGGCATCAACCAGCAAAAACGGGGCAAACATGGGGCAAAAACGGGGCAACAACTAATGGAGATACGTTGGGGAAATTTTGCCGTGGGACACAACCAACAATATGATTTGTTTGGGTCCGGGTTTGTCTGAATCGGGACTCCCTTCAAGTGGCAATTCTCACGGTGAATATTGTGATCAATTGTCAGGTATTTGGCCACCCTGTGGCACCTTATGAAACACAGGATTTTGCGGAGATTGTCATTTGTGTGTTTGTGCCTGCGCGGGCACAGCATGGACACTGTTGTAGCTTCATTTGCAACAACTATGGGGTTTGATGGGTTTGTTTCTCTCACAGGCCACCCTTCAAATCAGCTGATCAATCCCCTTTGTATTCACTTTTTAATATTGTCATCTGGGGGTATGCCTCATTTTCAGACACCCATATGTTTCAAAGGGAAACCTTGCTTGTGCTGAATAAAAACCGTGCGTTTTTTGTTGGCATTTCTGTGCCGAGATTTCGGTGCTACCGCCCAATGTCCTTGAGAATGTTTCGGTGGACAGCACCCTGACATGACTCCGGTTGTCTGGTGCGGAAGAAGGCCAACTGATGTGGGACTTCGCGGGAATGTCTGCGATTAAGCGGATTTGGGATTCGAATCATACGGAGCTCATTGATGCCTTTTCGTTTACATCTGTTGAGGAACCTAAATTAGGTTTGTTTTGTAACAACAAGGACAATCAACCAACATGCAGGTGGCAATGCGGCGCTTGAAACCCTTCATCAGCCGACGGCCTTAGGTATGGAAGACCTCTTTGAAATGTTGGACGTTGATGGTGGCGGCGCGTTAACCCAAGATGAATTTTTGGAAGGTGGTTTGGCTATCACCTCGCATTGACTTTTCACCACTGCTTTGGATTTTTCGCAAAAGCATCTTCGATGCTTGGGTTCTCGTTTAGTTTGCTGACCGCATGGGGAGCGAGCACCGCTTGACCGAGAGTGTGGACGGAAGGGAATGGGTCCAACTGAGTGTGGACGGCATGGAAATGGAGGGAAATGGATGGGAAGATTGGTCAGTCGATGGAAGGAAATGGGGGCAAATGGGTTGTGAGACTTACTGGTGGGCATGAAGGAGTGAAAGGACGGAGGGTGCGGACGGGAGGGTGTGGGGAGGGTATGGGGGAAAAAAACCAGGAGATGAGGAGCTGTTGGGATGCGTGAATCAGGTTTGACAGCTGTCGTTTTGCTTTTGGGTTCTGCTTTTGGGTTGTTTTCAAGGTATGTGCTGGAACCTTGGGAAGGGTTTGGGGCAAGTGGTTGCTGGAAACTACCTGAAAGGGACACGCCGACATGGCAATGTGTGACTCTTGCTTATGTGATGTCGGTTGTGAAGTTTTTCGGATTTATACATACTGTATCATATGGTATCTCTACTTGCACTTTGCAGTTTGCCTTGTATACATATGTCTTGATCAGACCATCCAGTTGCTGCTGTGCAAGAAAAAATGGGCGTGCCAGGTTTGTTGAGCCTTCTGCTGTTGGATGTGCCGATGTGGGCCATACAGTTGCAGAAGCAAATGTTGCAACTCTACAAGCTGGTGACTTGCCCGCCAATCCAATGAATCGGTTTGTGGAAGGGGGGAGCAAATTCCGGATGGGACCCCTGAAAGCGAGACAATTCCACATTTGGAGCGCAGTGTTCAGCTGTGCTTCATCCGAGTGAATATGGCGTAGTCCATTAAAACCAGACGTCAGTGTGGCCCGAAAGAAGAGCAGGAGGGAGTAGATCAAAAGAGTATGGACAAGAACATATGAAGCTGATGGATGATGAATGATGATGAAAGATGATCAATAATGAATGAAGTTGTGGATGCACAAGGATGTAGAATGGGCGATAATGAAGTTGTATATTAAATATATTATATCCGATGTGTATCTGTGCATATCAATGCCGTCTATTCAGATGACTACGACGACCCCAGTGAGGAGACGAGAAGAAAATGCACAAGAAAATATGCTGACAAATCATGATGGTAATGATGGTGGTGATGTTGACGGTGATGCATGTTGGTCACGATGAAGAGCTTTTACGCGCAGAGGCTTTTACACAGAGAAGTCTTTACACAGAGGAGCTTTTACACACGGAAGCTTTTGCGCACAGAAGCTTTTACGCACAGAAGCTTTTACACAGAGAAGCTTTTACAAAGAGACGCTTTTACACAGAGACATCTTTACAGAGAGGCGCCTTTACACAGAGCGGCTTGTACACAGGGAGCTTTTACAGACAGAAGCTTTTACACAGAGAAGTCTTTTCACAGAGAAGCTTTTACACATAGAAACTTTTACACACAGGAGCTTTTACACAGACAAGCCTTTACACAGAGGAGCTTTTACACACAGACCCTTTTACACAGAGAAGCTTTTACAAACAGGAGCTTTCTCACAGAAACTTTGGCAGAGAAGTCTTTGCGCGGAGGGGCTTTTACACAGAGAATTTTACAAACAGAAGCTATTACATTAATACACAGAGAAGTCTTTACATACAGGAGCTTTCACGCATAGAAGCTTTAACACACAGACGCGCTTACACACAGAAATCTCTACACAGAGGGACTTGTACACACACACAGAGAAGCTTTTACGCAGAGAAGTCTTTACACCGAGAGGAGCTTTTACACAAAGTCAAACAAGTCTTTACGCAGAGGAGCATTTTTACAGAAAAGTCTTTACACAGGAGCTTTCACAAACAGACGTGTTTACACAGAAGCTTTTACACAGAAAAGTCTTTACACAGGGGAGATTGTACGCAGAGAAGTTTTTACGCAGAAAAGTCTCTATACGCAGAGGAGCTTTTGCAGACAGAAGCTTTTACGCACAGGAGCTTTTATGCAGAGAAGTCTTTTTAGAGGGGCTTTTGCACACAGAAGCTCTTACACAGAGAAGTTTTTACACACAGAAGCTTTTACGCGCCGAAGCACTTACATACAGAGCCTTTTACACAGGAAAGCTTGTACGCAGAGAAGCTTTCTTACAGAGAAGCCTTGCCACTCACAGAGGATCTCTTTTGCGACGTTGCAAAATCGCAATGTGGTTCGCAGATTTTGCTGTTTGACCTTCAGTTGGTGCGAAAGGGTGTCATCTGAGATTTCAAAATCTTAAATATACGTCAGTTTTTGCGGTTCGACCTTTGTTTCGTGCGAAAGGGTTGCATCTGCAGTTTCAAAATCGCAAATTTTACATAAGTTTTTGACGCTCGACCACCATTTCGTGCGAAACGGTTGCGCCTGATCTTTCAACATTGCAGTTTTGCAACAGTTTTTCGACATTTCCATTTTACGTTGTAAAATCGCACTTTTACATCAGTCTTCGCCGTTCGGCCTTCATTTCGTGCGAAAGGGTTGCATCTCAAGTTTCAAAATTGCACACGTTTGTGCGTCTGACAAGCACGATCTCCGCAGAGGGTAGCTCATGCCAGCGACAAATTCGCATTTCACCACACGTTTCGATCTCCGCAGAGGGTTGCTCGTCCCCAAGACAAAGTCGCGTTTCACCACATGTTTGTGTGTCCGACGCGCGCGCTCCGCAGAGGGTCAGCTTTCGATGGACATGGCTGGCCGGGCTGCTCCTGCCGCCTAAAGAGAGAATTGAGAAGAACTTGAGAAGTAGTTCTGTAGGGTTCAGGTACAAGTAGATCACCTAGAAGTTGACTCCTGTGTATAACAATTCCTACGCAACAACTCCTGTCAAGGAATTCCTGTGTAGGAACTCCTGTTTAACAACTCCTGTCAAAAAACTCCTGTGCAACAACTCCTGTCAAAGAACTCCTGTGTGAAAACTAGTGAATGGCATGGTAGGAGTTTTGTAGGACATATGTAGAAGTTGAGCACTTCTAGATTGTGTGAATGATGTGGACATATAATGTATGTGATGTAGATGATGTATGTGATGTAGATGATGTAGATTGTAGATGGTGGAGGATATGTAGATGAAGTTGATGTAGATGATGTAGGTGATGTAAAGCATGTAGGAGATGTTGTGTAGATGAAGTGAAAAGTTGAATTTGGCAGCAGCTTTGGAAAAATCCCATTCGCAGGAGCTTTCGGGAACAAAGTAGCATTCCTGTCGTCTTGTTTTGATGATGCCCTGCGTTACTTTGACGCAACTCTGAGGTCGTGTCTAAGAGCAATTTGATGCCAGAACGTCCGCTTTCTATTGAAAGTCCTTCTGGCAAGAGAACTGCTCTAGAGCTCTGAGAGAGCGAGAGCCGAACTATTTCAAAAAATATAAGAGCATTCTTCAGGGAAAACCTGAGGAATTGGGAGAAACGGGGAAGCTTGGACGCAAAGTATTTAATGCGGTTAAACTAGGTTGAGAAGGGATGGTTGGCTTCACCAAAAAAACGAAAATGGATTGCTTGACGCTAGTTTTGAATTCAGCTTTATTATCCTCGTGCTTGTCCTTATTTGAATGAATGATTTCAATCCTGTTCTGGTGTTTTTTTGAATTTCACTCGCAAAACTCCAAGTGTTTGTCTTGCCCACCAAGTTTCGGAGTATGTCTCACTATTTAAGCACAAAGTCGTGCATTCCCTTGGCCAAATGGGTAACAAGTACTTCCCCTCGGGAGAGGTGCAAAAGCAGAGTGCCCTTAAAGGGCTTGCTACTGCTCACTGGTCGCTGCAGAGCATTTTAGTATGGCAGAGCACCTGCAATGAACCGCAGAATTTCGGAGAAAATATTTTCAAATTAATATTTATCAACAGTATTATTTCATTTATATCAAAAAACTATTACAAGTAGAACCCGCGCGCGGTGGGTGGCGGAAATTTCCGAAAGGAAGGAATGTCACATTATAGGATGCAAAGACATGTCACATTATAGGATGCAAAGACAAACTTTGCCTTTAGGAGGTGCAACGAAGTCTCACATCTTCTCAACTCTGTTCTTTGAGTTCGTCCTTTTGTTCTCAGCGATCTTCGCACCTCATGAAATCGTGCCACCTTTTCTTTACTCTTCTCACGACTTCTCGCCTCTTGTCAACTCGACTCTCCTTAACGATTCTTATCTCTGTCCGCCCCTTCTGAATTCTTTTTAGCTTGTCTTGAGTCATCTTACCTAAATTTAACTCTTCCAAATTCTTTCAGCCCGGTCGAGCTGACACAAGCGCAAGTTTTTCTAACTGCTTTTTTGTTTGCTTGATCCGTTTGACTCGTTCAACTTATGTTCGTCTTATTTCTAGGTAAGTCTAACCTTCAACTACGTATCCCTAACTTTCTTATGTTTTTAAACCTTTTAATTCTCAATACTTTTGCCGGCTTCTGATTGCTCTGTCCTAACTGCATTCCCAATTTCTCACCTTTTGCTATTGCTTTTCTTCAACTTTTCCAAGCCTTTATGCATTCGCGAATGTTCATAAATTTCTTTTCGTCCTATTTTACTTTCATGCGCTGTGTTTAGTCACTTGTGGTACCAACATTCAACCATCCTGCAGCCGCGGCATTTTTTAATGCGCGCCCAGAGCTGGGACATTATGTGGCGCTTGGCAGCACAGCTGCGCCAAATACTGCAAGGAAACCATTTGTCAGGAGTGCGCGTGAGCAGCATAGCTGCATGCCCCTTTGCGTGTTGATTGCGTAGGCAGCACAGCCGTGCGCGTCGCAATCGCTCTGTGCCCTGCACACATTTCAAAAGTTCCTGGCTTGGCTACTTGAAAAAGGCTTCGACAGGCTCGGCCGGCGCGACGTGGGCCACGTCGTGCGGCAGATGAATGGGGTAGGCAGCACCGCTCTAGAGTGCCCCTGCAAGATGCTTCACGGCGCCAACTATGCCCCGAGCGAAACGCGGCTTCCAGCGATCCGCCAACCCCCTTTGCTGTTCCGCGGTGCCAACTACAAGAAGTTTTACTTCACGCTGTTCGCGCACGGAGGACTTGCAACGTCAAGGTATCTTTGCCTTCTGCTCTCTTCCCTCCCGTCACTGTTCATCCTGCGTTATATGCTGCAGGGCTCTGGCTCAAAGGCATCTAGAATACCACGGCATCCTTGGAAGGTTGGAAACGGATGTGCCACACAAATGTTCTCTCATTCATGCAGCACGCACTTGAGATTGCATGATTTTCGCTGTGCCGTGACAGCCCTATAGCTAATTATCTGAGGCCGCGAAGCTGTATATGCTCGCGGGAAAACTTTTGCACGCCAAGCCTATTTGTAAGCCAAGACTCCTTCAGAGGCCATGGCGGTCAAGTCTGGCCTTTTGTTGGACCACACATGGGCGAAAGCGAAGAAAGCGGCCAGAAGTCTTGGGAGCTGCGCAGCATAGCCTGCTGAAAACGCGGTCGCGTTGGAATCGTAGCATCGGCGAGAACGAGCCCCACCGGGAAGCCCCTTCTGATGGGCGAGGCGACGATCACAGGCGCTGCTGGCCAAACTAAGCTATAAGGTTTCTTTTTGCGCACGTGCAAAAACCACGCGGCCAAAAGACCCCTCTGTCAGGATCGACGATTTTGCCGAGGTCGTCGATGGCAACCTGGTGCCTCCAAGTGAAGACCCCGACCGGTATTTGTTTCGAGCTGAGCATATGCAAAAAAAGCACGGCGTGACAAGCGTCGCAGAGTTCCCGGCGATGACGAAATACAAGCGAGTGCACGCTTGGCACATCACCGATGCCAAAGAATACCCGCTACCCAAAGAGGTCGCTGTGAAGCGTGGGTGTGTGGTGTGGATTAAACATGATTAAACTGCGAAGCCTCGCCTTCGACAGCGTACATGGTGAGGTATAAAACCTGGCGCGCTGCTAGGACTTCCTTGCGCGCGCATGTGACGGCATGAAAACTTGAAATTTCCTTTCTTTTTTCTGAACACCACGGGATTTCAATGCCTGTAACATAGAAAACAACGTTGCTTTAACAAGAACTAATCCAACCGAAGCCTTTTTCGCAGCATTGAGCCGATTTTAGACATATTCCATTTTGCTTAATCTTCTTTTTACTTACGGGGTGATGTGTTGTCAGTTTTACGTGCAGTTCTTGGTGCCCAACTTTACCTGAGGGGTCGTGCCATTGGTTTTGTTGTTTCTTTTGAGGTGCCATCGCCATTAGCACTGCTTCCTGCGCTTCTGAGGCCGTATACTGCTCACACACAGGAGGTTTAACGGCGCCATCGCCCCGAAGATCCTAGCAATGGCGCCCCCACCGCAGCAGGCGATGGATCCCATCTGCGCAGGTCTGGTGGACTTCCTGGACGGCTGGGCGCTTGTCCCCTTTCTCCGAACTTGCAAAGCTGCGCGCAGCTGTCAAATGCAAGTGGTACGGGTGCGCGAAGCAGAACAGCAGATGATGTGCTTCAACAGTTCCTCCCCCAGAGTGTAAAGTGTACTGTGTAACGTGTGGAGTGTGGAGTTGCAAAATGTAAAGTTCAAAGTGTAAAGTGTAGAGTGCGGAGAGTAAAGTGTAAAGTGTGGAGTGTGGAGTGTAAAGTGTGGAGTGTAAAGTGTAAAGTGTAGTGTGTGGAGTGTAAAGTTTAAAGTGCGGAGTGTAAAGCCTAAACCCTAAACCCTAAACCTAAAGTGTGGAGTGTAGACTGTAAAGTGTGGAGTGCAAAAAGGATAGTGAAGAGAAAAGTGTAAAGTGCGGAGTGTAAAGTGGAAAGTGTGGAGTGTGGAGTGTAGAGTGTGGAGCGTAGAGTGTGGAGTGTAAAGTGTACAGTGTGGAGTGTGGAATGCAAAGTGTAAAGTCAAAAGTGTAAAGTGGAAAGTGTGGAGTGTAAAGTGTGAAGTGTGGAGTGCGCAGTGTAAAGTGTAAAGTGTGGAGTGTGCAGAAGTGTAAAGTGTGGAGTGTAATTTGTAAAGTGTGGGCTGTAAAGTGGAAAGTGAAGAGAAAAAGTTTAAAGTGCGGAAAGGAAAGTGTGGAGTGTAAAGTGTAGAGTGTGGAGTGCAAAGTGTGGAGTGTAAAGTCTACAGTGTGGAGTGTGGAATGTAAAGTGTAAAATGTGAAGTGTAAAGTCGGAGTTTAAACTGTGGAGCATAAAGTGTAGAGTGTGGAGTGCAAAGTCCACAGTGTGGTGTGTGAAGTGTAAATTGTGCAGTGTAGAGTGTGGAGCGTAGAGTGTTGAGTGAAAGTGTAGAGTGTAAAGTGTAAAGTGTGGAGTGTAAAGTGTAAAGGAGTGTGGAGTGTAAAGCGTGGAGTGCGAAGTGTAAAGCGTGGAGTGTGGAGTGTAGAGTGTGAAGTGCAGAATGTGGAGTGCAGGTGTGGAGTGTAAAGTGTGGAATGTAGAGTGTGAAAAGTGGAGTGTAAAGTGTAAAGTGTGGAGTGTAAAGTGTGGAGTGTAAAGTGTGGGGTGTAAAGTGTGGAGTGTTAAATGTAAAGTGTGGAGTGTGGAGTGTAAAGTGCGGAGTGCGGAGTGTAAAATGTAAATTGTGGAGTGTAGAGTGTGGAGTGGTGCGGAGTATAAAGTGTAAATTGTGGAGTGTAGAGTGTGGAATGCAAAATATGGAGGTAGAATATGGAGCGTAAAATATAAAATATAAAATATGGAATATAAAAAAATATACGGAAGGTTTTAGATTAAAATATAAAATTTAAAATTAAATATGTTTAAAAAAAAATACAATATATATTTCCCTACTTGCCAGGTGAGGGTTGTTAGATTTTATGTCAGTTACCTCCTGCTCCTCCTCCTCCTCCGCCTCCTCCTGCCTCGTCTTCCTCTCCTCCTCCTCCTCGTCCTCCTCGTCGTCCTCGTCGTCCTTGCTTAACTGCGACCCGCGATTTACAATGTTCTTTCCCGGACCTCAACTACCTACGCCTAGTGTTCCCTGCCGGACCTCAACTACGATCATGTACGCCCAGTGTTCCCCGCCGGACCGCAACCACGACCAACCACGACCATCCACGCCTAGTGTTCCCTGCCGGACCTTAACCACGACCATCCACGCCCAGTGTTCCCTGCCGGACCTTAACTACGACCATCCACGCCCAGTGTTCCCTGCCGGACCTCAACTGCGAGTATCCACGCGAAGTATTCCCTGCCGGACCTCATGTAGGAATGTTAGATAAACTGCCAGATAGAATGCCAGATAGAATGTCAGATAGGATGCCAGATAGAATGCCAGATAAAATAGCAGAAAGAATGTTAGAAAGAATACCAGATAGAATGCCAGATAGAATGTCAGATAGGATGTCAGATAAAATGCCAGATAGAATGCCAGAAAGAATGCCAGAAAGAATGCCAGATATAATGCCAGATAGACTGCCAGATAGAATGTCAGATAAAATGCCAGATAGAATGCCAGAAAGAATACCAGAAAGAATGCCAGATATAATGCCAGATAGACTGCCAGATAGAATGTCAGATAAAATGTTAGAATATATGTCGGATATAATGCCAGATAG